CTGATTATAAATATAAGGCTTGGTTAGTGTCCACCCCAAAAGAGAAGTGTGTTTTTTACTGCCATTGCTTCAGACTGTGGTTTTGGTTTTTTTTCTGCTATTGTTACCCAGCTTTTTTGTTCTTGGCAGAATAGCGTACCCAACAACTGCCTATTTAAACTGTGTCTGCACAGTAATTCAGAAATTTGCCTAACTGTGTCATCAGGTTTCAGTATGTCCATATAAAGGATATTTGTGAAAATGTACACGTAGTTACTTAATTCTGGAATTTAAACATATATTGTTTGTTGGGGTTGTAGTTATTGATCTTCACTCTCAAGACACTTTTACCTGTTTATGACTGGAAAAGAAAATGAAGATTATTTGATTGTGTTTAAACTGCACACAATTGATTTAATTGTCTTTCCTGTCCAGGTCAAAGAATATTGCCAAACAGCCTTCAGTCCAAGTTTTTTTTGAAACAGGTCATATCACTTAGGCTCCCGGATATGCTGAGCACAGATAGCGGAAAAAGTGTCATTAGTCCAGTGTTATTAGTTAATTAAAAATTTTGCTTTCGCTGTGAAAATACAATTTTTTTTTTTAGCTCAGTTGCATTTTTGAAAGTAGAATAAAACAGCATTGCAATGTTTATGGATGTCTGTGGATTTCATTATTCCAGTTTTCAAGTCTCTGTGGATTTGCTTCATCAGGAATGTGGTTGGAATTAGCCCCACTTTTCTACCTCACCTAAATTTGAAGAGCTCAGGATTTTTGCTACGTTGAAATATTTTGTTTCTGCCTCTTAACCTTGAGTGCTTCTGAGGTGGTACTGTTCCTTACAAAAAAAATGCTATTTATTTATTTTTATTTATAGTCGAAGGGCCATGGAATTTATCAGAAATTCACCTATTTCATACATTATTTTTAATCATACCTTTAGATGGTGGTACTTTTTACTAATGTACCAGCATCACTAAAGATCTTGAAAATGTGTTATTTAAATTTTAATAAGATCTATAGTTAAAAGGCTTTTACTTTGACCAAAAGAACTTATGAAGTTTCAACTAAAAATTTTGGTTTAGTTTGCCATTGAGATGGAAAAAGCTAAGTTAATATTTTTTTAACATCAAATAATAAAATCTTTTCAGCATTATCAGATTTATTTATTCTTCACAAGAAGTTTGGAAAAAAATTGAGTTTGGTGTTTCAGCTGCATTGTTATCTTTACAACTAAAATACAAAATTTGCATTTGTAGCTTTATGTAAGTGTTTCAACAATACCTTTACAAGAATGTAGACACTTGTAATAACTGTGTACGTAATGTGCTGTGTGCATTTCCACTAATGCGCCATGTAATTTTTGAGACAGAGCTCACTTCTACAAAAGTGGTTTTTGGGAATATGGTAGGGAAGACCTTGTACTTTTTGTTCAGGTTAATTATATTAGTGGACATTCTGTGTCAGGATCTTGACTGCATGGAAATTATTTTTGTTTTGAATAATTATATACTCGATTTGTATTGCTATGGCATCCAGAAGTTTACAGTGTGCACTAGAGTCCTCAAGTTTAGGAAAATACAGATGAATAAGAAAAAAAGTCCTTTCCTACCCAGCTTATTGTTACTGCAGATTCCTGTAGAAAAAAAGGAGGAAGAAAGACTATAAATGGGAAAAATATAACAAAATTACAAGTTCTTTGATTAAGCAATTCTTATTCAACAAGTTCTACTTTTTTCTTTTCCTAGTTATTTAGTTTTACAGAAAATGGGCCAAGGGGCAGGGCAGTTAAAATGAGGCACTTCAATTAATTGAAGCTGATAAGAAGTACTGATGTATTTTTGTTCTCCATTTTAAAAAGAAATCTAAAACTCGAGGAATTTTATTATAGGACTGTCACTTAGAATTTTTAGGTATTTATTTGAATAGATTGTCATAAACAAGCACAATTAGCCCTTACACATATTAATTTTGGTTTTACCAGATGTTTGTTACGAAGTTCCCCTAAACTCATGTAGAGTGAAGCAGCCTGAATACATCAGTTGAAATAAAATATGAATTTGGTATGTTTAATGATGTTTCTGTCTTTTTTTAGTGGATCAGATGTTCTGGGAAGTTATGCAGCTGAGACGAGAGATGTCACTAGCAAAACTTGGCTATTACAAGGAAGAGCTCTAAGTCTTATTACTCTTGCGCGTGCATGAACTTCATTGAATATACATAACAAAAATGGCTGAATCTTTTTTTTGTCACTTGATATTTATTTCCACAAAGTGGGTCCAAGATCTTTCTCCTTTTGCAGATGGCACTAAGAAGTACTGTGATTGTTTTGAACTGACCTATGCTGTATATGCGTACATATAATATTTAGTTGAACAAATGTGGTAAACACTTGCAGGTGTATTAGTGATTGTAATTTACATTTAAAAACAAAAATTCTAATTAAAGTGTTGATCTGAAACAACCTCTGTCTTCTGGTTTTTGTGATGCAGAATAATGTGAATCTCGCCAAGATGACATTCCAGAATGTAAAAATGAGATGATCTTATGAAGAGAGAATAAACGCCTGACATGTTCTTCATTGTAGTGTTTAGATACATGTATGTAGCTCTCTCTGCATGCATGCCAATACAGTTAAGAGACAATTAGGAGAACTTGGAATTCTTTGAAGTGCTGCTTTCCCATACTTTTGATTTTTAAAAACATGTAAGAAGAGAAACATATACATCATAATAAACCTGAGTATTTTCTCTTTAAAGGAGAGTGCTTTTTGAATATCAAGGAACAATAAAATTATCTTGTTGACACTTTGGTTAGAAATCTGTCCTGACCCCTATCTGACTGCTAAAAACTTTCCCTCTAATTTTCTTTCATTAAAATTTTTTCCTTCCTTTAAATGATTTTTTTTTAATCTTGCCTTTTTTTTGGGTTCCAGTGTTTTATACATCATTTGCCCCACAGCTGTCCTTGAAAGGGGGAAATTTCCATGATGTGATTTCTTTAATATGTTGATGATAATTTCCGTATAATGTTATCAGTTTTTTTCACACACACAAATTGTGTCAGACAACACCAGAAAGGATCACGGCCTCTTAAACATGCACTTCAAAGTGTTACTTTGGCACTTGAAGTTCAAGTGGTCCTTTTTTTCCTGGGCACTGTCTAAGCTGAAAGCAGACAGCTGGTGAGGTTACAGGAACATAGTTGTGAGAATGTACTTGACATGCCCTTTTGGAAAAACATTAGATCTTGATCCTGACAGCCATTTATCAATTGCACTTAAGATTAAAGCCTTGGCAAGTAAACAGACAAACATTAAAAGGTGAGTTTATGTGGTTGGTTTTTTAACAAGAAGCATCTCAGTGTATACACATCTCTTTGATGCTGAACAAAACCAATGCTATTCATCACTGTCTCACTGGAATGTTCTCCGTTTTCACAAAAGTATATAGAATGAGCAGTGAAATTTAATACCATATTTGTGTTGCTTGTATGTGCCTAAAAACACTTTGCAAGTGTTGGCTTCAACCGGGCATTTCAATGTTAAGATTTAAACAAACAGCTGAACCTAAATATTTTAGTAGAAATGGAGTATGTGTGTCCAGCCTGGGCTACTTCAGTACTGAAGAAATATTTTTAACAATCTCTTCTCCTTGGGTACTACTTGCTGTTGGAGAAACCTGGAAAAATTCTACCATAAATTGTTAAAGGGTTGTTTATTCTTTCAGTAATGCTAAGGAAGTCTGGTTTTACTCTCTCTTAGAAAACAAGCTGCGTTTGTTGGTATTATGTTTTATGTTAGGCTCATAAATGCTTCCTAAATGATTATTAATCCTGAGTTTACATAATGAGATACAACTGTTTCCATGATTACCTAAGAGTAGGCAAATGGTAGCCGGTAGCTGTTGCTGTTCTGACTTAATATCCTTTCCAACAACAAAATCCTGTTGCTCATTCAAGCAGAGAGAAGGGTTCTTTCTATAGATGGTAGTATCTAAAACGTATTATGCTGAGGTGATTTTCTTGTATTAGGGACGACAAAGATGTACCTTATGTATCTCAGGGGTAATGACTGTTTGGCTCAATTACATCAATGTCTTGTAAATGCTGACCGGCTTGCTTCTGTCTTCAAGTCCCTACTCTGAAATTCTTGTCTATATTTTTAATATGAGCTGTTTATCATGAGCAACCTATATCACTGTGAGTGCTCAGGGCTTGTAAAAACTGCATAACAGTTACTTGTCTGGTGAATGTAATTCAGAAAATAGCCTAATTCGAGAGTTGACTTAATTGAAATTTTTGTTCATAACCAAATGCCTCTTTCAGATGCCTGCGCAAAACATTTGAATATTTTTGTCCTGTTTGCTTAGGGATGACAAAATGGGCTATTTTTAATGTTTAAACATGAAATCGGAGAAAGTGAAATAGGAAATAGAAAATGGGATTTGCTGCTAGCAAGAGCAGAGATCTTTGTTTTATGTTCAGCCTTCCCATACGTTTTTCATAAAACAGATAAACAGTTTTGTTTTGTTAGTAACAATGTATAAATTTTACTTCCCTACTAGTGATGGCTTTGCTCTTGCATTTTTGATTACTTTTGATTTCACCAGTAGTATTAATTACATACCTGTGTGAAAGTACAAAGACAAGATAAGTAATTTCTCTTGCTGCATTTTTTGCGCATGTGTAATTATAGTTAGTACTGGGACCAAAGGTCCTTGAAACAAGAACATTAGACTTATTGACCGGATAGAACACACATCACTTTCACCTTGCCTCAGAAGGCTTGTCAGATTTTCCTTTACATGTAGTTTAATTCCTTTATATAAAGCCGAAGTATAACCCTGGTTCTAGTTATGGAGGAAATATGAAATCAGCTGGGACAAATTCACTGAAACCTCTGAAAAAGAACATGAAGTACTCCTTGGCACGTTGGTAATCATCTGGAAAATAGAAAGTGCATTTTTCTCAGCGGGAACTCTTCAAGCAGTAAGAAAGCAAAACACTTCTACTGGATTTTCATGGATGTGGTGGGAGAAAATGAGGCCTTACAGCAGTTCTTTGAAGGTAAGAGTCTAGTTTCAAGAGAAAGTCTTAAATTTTTGGTGGCAGCAAAATCACAGTAATTGTTTGGGGGTAATTGAGGAAGGAAGGAGGAAGAAGAGCCCTGAAACCCAAAACCCTGTTTACACAAAGCTGTTATGTAAGGCAGTGAAATAGTACAAGTGGTACAGATGTGCTGCAGTGCCTTTTTCTTTGTACTCTGGCCAGGAAACCAAAGGAAAGGTGGACTCAGCAGAGCCTACAGTACTGCCATGGTAATTGCCTTGAAGAAAAACTGGGAAGTGAATGAGGTCTTGCAGTTTATCACTTCTGAAATCTTTGTAGTTTGCCTGAGGTTGGAGATCTTGCTCCCTGCTCAGTCTTGTCAGGTTAAAGAGGGTTTTCTTTCCACTGATATTCTTCTGAAATGGCCTGATTGTAATTGGTAAGATGGTAATTGTGGCAGTATCCTCAGGATCCTTCTGAGAAGTTAAACTTGGATATTTTTGTCTTTTTCCTGAGATCATCTGTCTTTCTGACTTTTTCCCAAAGACATTTTCTATTCAAGCAGGTCACAATAATTTCCTGACTTTCTGTTACTACACAGTTTACTTTCTGATAGATGCCATGATAAAACTGCATTTCTTAGGCTCTGCGATAATGTGATCCAAAATGGCTGTTCAAAGTCTTTTTACTTTTTTTTTTTTAATGAAGAATTTTCTCCCATTTGCAATTTGTCTTTATTTATTTTTTATTAACCTTCCTATGCTAAATTTTTTCTGTATTTTTTTTCTTCTTCTTTTGCCTGTACAGGTATTCATGTGATACTGATCTCAAAGTAACTTGGCAAACTTTACCTTTCTGTTGTGATTTTATTTCTTTTTTCCCTACCCCTCTATTGGTCTTGGTGAGAGATGGCAATTTTTAACTTTTAAGTCTTATTTTCAAACTAGGAAATTGAAGATTCTCCAACTGCTGGTTTGGTGGCCTCTGCGAGTAGTCATAGCAGAGTTGGAACATTGTCTTCCAAGGCTATGAAAAAGCTGAATCCTGCAGTATCAAGTGGAGAATGGTGATCAGTGGTTGAGTTTTGGTTTACAAGCTTAGCTGGCAGCTAAGCTCATTTATAGATTTGTAAGATGATTTGAAATTCATGACCAAAAAGGATCACATTTACCCTGTCCTTACAGGGCATGTTTGTTTTGACACTCGTTAGCACTGTAAACTTGCATCTGCAATATTAAGAGGGGACAGTTTGAAAACAAGATCCTTTTTTCAGGGAAAATGAGATAATTTTTTTCCTGATGATCACTTCTTTCAATAGTTCATAGACCTCTTTTAGATTAGATATGACTCTGGGATTTGACCTTGGCCTTTTCTCATTCATGTAAATGGCTTTTCTCTTACCACGTGGCTGTTTTGGGAAGTTCTTTTCTTTTTTTGTTTCATTTTACTTGCACATTAGAAATTTCATCTTTGATGCAGGTTTTTTCTGTTCTGTTAAATGAGTATTTATAATTAAAACATTTTGCATTTTAGAATCAATAAGTTCCTATTCGTCAAGGGAAGGTCAGAGCTCCTGATTAGCTATTCTGCCTGTGTGTCATAAGCAGTCTGTTCTTGCTGATGTTATCAATGGGTTGAGAAACATGATGGAAGGTCAACCTGGTTACAGTGTTAAACTCCTCCTCTTTTTTCTTGTTGTGAGGTACATTGAGGTGTCTGAAATGCATGAGCTTGGTCTCAGTGCTCTCCACGATCTAAAGAAATCTCTTTGTGGAATCACCACCTCTCTGTATACTTATGCTCCTGTATGGGTAACATGGAATATAGTTTGGAGCTCCTGGTCCATTCAGCAAGCAGGTATTGCTGAGCACTGACCATGTTCTGTGTGCCGTTTTTACGCCTTGAGCTGTATTTAAGAATTCTTCCCTGTCTAGAGTAGCTGATGCTGTAACACGAATCTTAGATTTCCAGATGGCTGGAAACTTCCTGGCATCCTCGTTTAATGTCAGGAAATTATCATTTTAGTATTGGTTTTTAGACAATACTATTTCTCTGTCCCTCATCCTTTACTTTGCATTTAGATACCACTGAAAAGGAGGCAATGGATTTAAATGCAGGTATACATAAGGCACTACATGGAAGTGCTGGGAAAATTAATCAAGGCAGGTTTTTTGGTAATTGAGACTGTTGGTTACAGGACCATAGAGTGAAGCTCAGGAGCCAGGTGATCAGAGGCTTGTGGCTGGAGTAAAGGAAGAGATGGCTGCTAAAGAGCAACTACCAGATTAGGAGGCTGGTGTTCATAGTACTCCTTTGGGGCCTGTGGCTGGGCATTAGGAACAGGATAGGCTGCAATGGACAGGGAAATGGAAGTCAGTGGAAGAACTGACAGGTTTTAGACTTGGGGACAGAAAAATAGAATATCAAGCTTGTGAAGAAATGGGAAAAATATATGATTGTATGCAGCCTATGACTGCAGTCTTTGTTCTGCAAACATCTCTCTGTGAAGCTCCAGCCTCGGCGCTGCCTTGGCCTTTCACATTCATCTGCTTGTCCTAAAAAGCTGACAGTTCTCTGCACAGTGACACTAAAGTTGAACGTGTCACTCAGTGTAGACTCTTCCCAGAGATGCCTGGGCACACTGTGGTGTGAAGTGCGTGCTGGGATCAGAGACCCCCAAGCACAAGCTGATAATTGAGGCTGCTGACTCCACATATCCTCCAGCAGCTCCTAGACAAGCACACAGTTCTATGCAGGAAGCTGTGTGTTAACAAAAGCCTCTCAACAGGGTTTGCCTTGCCACATACACACAGGTCTCATCCAGCTGAGCAGCTAACATCCAGATGAGTGACTGGCTTGCATACTGCCCATATCTGTTAAGTACTAAGTGCGATCAAATGCCCGTGAAATGCTTGCCAACATTAAAATAAATTTGCATATGATCCAACAACTCCTTCTCTGCTGAAACAGATGCCAATGCAAGCACGTGATGCCAGTGACCTGGAAAGTACATTCAGAAAGAAAGAATGAAGTTGTACAGGATAGCAAAATGTACTAGCTCTTCCATGCACCTGCATTGTGAACATTCTTCGTGTCTGCTTCCTGGTGTGCTTCCTTCCTCTCCCAGCACAGAATTACTTGTTCATTCCTTCTTCTCCTCCTCATTTAACTGTTTTTGCAAAGTGGAGAGATTAAGAAGGACTAATATACGTTGCTGTCTCACTTTGCAACAGAGCTAATCCCTGGACTGTGGGATGCTCATTTGAAAGGCCTTATCCTTATTTGATTCCTAGCTGTATTCCTTGATTCAAAATAGCCCGTCTCTGACCTTGGTCAACATAAAGGATTCTTGGTTTTGTGGTACAGGAGACATTTTGTATATGACCTCTGGTCTCATGTTAGTAATAAAGGCACAAAGGCTAGGCAGTTTGAACAGGAAAATAGGTGGGTAGAAGAAAGAGAAGATGATGGAGTAATTTTCCTATGGACTACATTAGTAAAAGGAGAGGCATTTGGGATGCAGTGTGGTGGTGTCCTGCATGCAGACACGAAGAATGAGAAGATGAGTCTCCAACAAGTTTAAGAAAGGCTGCTAAGGAAAGCCAGGCTCTTATATACTCAAACTGTTTTTGCGAAGTGCTCTGCTGCTGCCTCACAACTTTCCATATTAACAATTTTTTTGAGGCAAGTTGGTATGCTATTGAATCCGTTCTTCTCTGGTGTGTGGAGGACAGGTTTATATACAATGTCAATATATTGAGATCTATCAGTAGCATACCTGCAAGTTGCTATCCCTCAGTGAAAGGCAGCAGCAGCAGCTGCCTGCAGCAGCAATAAGTAAACAGTACCTAGATTAATCTGTGATCACAAAGCAATTCAGGAAATGTTTATTAGCAATGTAAATTTATGTACTGACAGACACACAAGGAAATTCCTGTGCAAGGGGGTGGATTTTAAGTGCCACTTCCTGTTATGTCCTTTCTTAAAACTGAAGGAACAGTATCAGTCAGAGACATCAGAAAACAACTGAAGATGCTATGGTATGACTTCTTACTGTGCAAGCTAGTACAGCAAACACACCAAAGGTAGTTACTGCTCCTCTGCTCAATGGCAGTGATTCACCTTTTGTGTTCTCACATGCTGCCGCAGAGCCGAAGGGACAGGGTTAGTGTCAGACACTGGGGGCTGAGCCACACAGCTCTGGGTGTGTGGGCTGGTCCATTTTATCTTGCACAAAAGTGGAACAGAGCCACATGCAGGGCAAGCAGGAATGTTAAAGTCCTTATCTTGTTTGCTTTCTGACTGGCCCCACCTGTATTTGTGAAAGGCTTGCTGCAGAGGTGTGGAGCCTGCAAAGGAAGACTGCTTGGTTGGGTTTCTTAGAGATCTCCAGTTGACTTTCTGTGAAAGTTGTCATGAAGTCCGGAAACTTTATAATCGTAATATCTCTTTATAGCCTTCAGTTACCAAGCAACAAAGGGCAAAGTACTGAGTCTTTCTGTTCGTTAATACATTTAACATGTTAGTGGGCTGGGGTTTTTTCAAGCAGGAGAAAAGAAAGCCACCAGTCAAACATTTCTAAAGCTATATTTGTGCTTTCTTTAAACTCAGATGGTGGATTTTTAAACTGTTTCAGAAATTCAGTTGCAGTATTAATCCAGAAAGTGGATCTGTGTGAGACAATGTTTGAGCTTCAGTGCAACAAATTGTTTTGACCCCAGTATAAAAGAGTCAGAAATTATCCTCTAAACTTCATTTCCCATTTGCGGACCGGGGTCCTTTATCCTCCTGCTGTGGTAGTTCACTGAAGCCTTAATGCCATACATGCACTGCTCTTTGCCCAGTGCTGCCCTGTCATCTGCATCTGCTGCTGCATTTCTCATCATCCTTTTTCCCAGAGTGACTAAACTAGGAGTGAAACCCACGTGTTACATATAAGTCAGGATGGATTTGATTTTCCTTTGTGTAGGAGCATGGGCAGCACTACTTAGTATGAAACACTTATGATTCCCTCTGAATTTCTGTCTTTAATTTTAGGGCAAGATGTCCATGGAGCCTTGGAGAATCCAATGGTGGATACAAGCATGTTGGAAGAATTCATTAGTAGTGACATAGAGTTCGGAACTTTGTAAGTAATATAGCAACAGGTACTTCCTCTCCTTAGCCACATCTCTGGAATTGTTTTCATTAGTGCCATGATTAAATCTGAGTTTCAAAAGAATTGTGGCTCTCTTGATACTGTTTCTTGAAGCTGTGTAAGAACATTTGGAAAAAAGTAATTACAGACAGAAATATGGTTGTCTTGTTCAACAGAACAAGTGATAAAAGTCTAAGTTGATTCAAAACTGTAAAGCTAATTGTGACATTAAATACAAAGCTGTTACTTTAACATCCCTGTAAATGCTAGTTTACTGTTTATGAACAGACTAAGTGATAAAAGTGAGACTACTGTACAACACATTGAGAGAATAATGGAAATCTCCCAGTTTGAGGGAAGCAGGGCTACTGTTTTAATACTGATACTTAATTCAGGACAGAAACTGTCCATTAATCTCTTTTGAGACTAAGAGATTCGAAGGAGGCATAGGGCAGAGGTTTATGGTCAAGAGTGGAAAGATTATGATCTATCAAAGACTTAAAACCCAAATCTTTCATCTAGACAACGGTCAGATAACTGTTGTTCAATGCAAAATAATATTAATGGACTGGCACTTGCATTTGCCAAGAAGCAGAGTAGATGTTTTAAAGATAATGAGGTTTTTCATTCTAGACACACTCAGCAGTACACATGTTTACTTACAGTGGACTAAATAGGCTTCTACCTGTGCTAAATCATGAATAATGAATTTATTCTCTCTACCCAGACTATAAAAATAAAGAATGAAGAGGAGTTTATGTGTAAATATCCATAACCTTTATTTTTAGAGTTACTAAATGTGTTTTAGGTTAACTGGATTATTGAACTCCTGTATGACAATAATAACATTTTAAAATGTTATTATTTTGCATTTATGTGTGAAATATAGCAGAAATATAAATGTGTATATATATGCTATTACGTAGCTTAGGTAAGTTAGTTAGTGCTACAAACTATTCACATGCAAGAAAACCATCTGTAAAGCTATTACGGGTTTGAAGGCTGAACAGAATTTTACACTAATAGTTCAGTCATACTTTGTTATTTCTGCGATTAAGAACATTTACTGAATCATTAGATCTCTACAAGTCAAATTATTAAGTATTTGTCTCTATTACAGACTCTTTGTGCATAAACAGAATAGAACCTCATAAAGGAACTTGCCAAAACGTGTCAAAGCAGAAAAATATTAAAACCCTTCATATATACATATAAAACACACAACACCATACTTGCATGTACAATACTGAATGAGAGTGCAATGAGAAGGGTGCTGTGTACCACCACGGTCTTGGGGGCACAGTCAGCCCCTCCTATTGCCCATCGATAAACTCAGCGCTACAAATAAGGGGTCAGCAATGGTGTTTGGGTTAAAATAAGAATTAGTGGCCTGTCTTCTTTGGGAATGAGGGGCTTTTTTTAGGGATTGTTTGGATTTTGAAGCATTTTTTGAGGAGGCTGTTGGGATGGACCTGTTAGTCCTCCTTATTTTCAATGCTTTTTTAATTTAGGGATAGAAGCTGTCAGTTATTGGTCCCTTACTATGTTTCTTGTAAATGAAACAGAACTGGAAGATTATGTAGAACTGATGAGAAGAAAGGCCCTTGCCTGTGGAAACCCCATCATGAGCCTCTGGACTTTTTTGATGAACTTTTAAAAGCTTGTATTTCAAACTGGGCACATGCATTTCCCACCTGTGTGTCAGCCCCTGCTTCCCTCCAGAATTGGGCTGTCCCTCATGGTGAGCGAGGTGCTAAAATGGGACCTTCTACCGTCTGACAGAGAGAGTCTGAGAGTACTTTGGCCAAACAAAGGTCTTAGTAAATTGGCTCCTGATGAAGATGCTACAGATCTCTAACCTTTAGTCTAGGAGAATGGGCCTTAAATCCATTGTGAGGGGTATTCAGAGTTACTGGTAGCCCAGAGGTAGCTGAAAAACTGCTCATGAGGAGGAAGGAGGATTGAAGACAGCAGACTATGAAGGTGGGGTTTGGGGAAGAACAGGTAAGGATGGGGCCTCCTGGCATGGCGGGGAGGTGGGAGGGCCATAGGAGATGGTCTAATGAAGCGTAAGTGACGTTGCTCCTGTGAGAAGGGCAGCAAACATGGTGGGCAATACTTCCTGAAGACCCTTGTCAGAAGCCTCGTGGTCCCCCATCTGCTTTCAGCATTGGCTGTTGTCATCCTTCATGTCTTGCTCCAGTAGAAATTAAAATCTTTTTCATCCTTAGGCAAAGCCAGTTGCCAGACTCCCCACCAGACTCTGGATCAGAACCATGTTCTCCACCGCAGCTACAGAGTAGGTGACATGAATTGTTTCTCCATGCTTGTAGCAAGGTCTCCAGCTCCTCTCCTGTGCTCTTATTTTCTTGTCCATTTATTTCCTGCAGCCCCACGGTATGATACTACATGGCCCAGTGGGCTGCAGCCTCCGCTCCCATGCCCTTCTGCTGTGGCACCCAGCAAGCTTCCCTGCAGGTTCATGGAGGCTTACCCTGACCCCAGTGCCATTGGGCATCCTTGCAGCATCTCCCAAGGCTGCGGGCTGAAGACGGAAAACGCTGTGACTCCTTGGAATCATTCTACATCCTCCAGCTCTTTGGGTTTTAATTATTCATACTTTCAGCCTAATGCATCTCAGATTTCTGGGTAAATGATAAAGCTTTTATGCAAAGGATGAGACAGATACAAAAGAAAAGTAGGGCTGGTAGAAGGCATGGTTTAAGACTGGTTGTAAATCCCTGTGGGTGTAGGGTTTTCCACAGGATGGCAGTGTTTAGACATTTTTGAGGTGCTTGTGGTTGAGGGTTCTTTAAAACATCTTGATTGCAGTTCAAATTGGAAGTAGGAATGGATTTCAATTTTTAAAACATTAGCAGGCTAAGGAGGGCTCGACATGTGCTTTATAGCTGGATGATAGAAATACTCATGTGTTTTGCAGTACCCATTTTAGGGATTTGTCCAGAAGTATCTTGTAAGTATTCTAGTAAGTGACATAAGAGAAAAAAAAAAATTCTACCTGTGGAGGCAAATGAAATGGTATTCATGTAACATCTGCCATATTAACTCACCAGTATGTTTTAGATGCTTAATTATTTAATATACACTAGTATTTTAACATTAACTGGTAAAATACGCTAGTGCAACCATGATACCCAATAAGGATGCACTGACATGGAGAAACCTTAGTTTGAGTTCCTGCTGGTCCTCATTGAGACTTGGAATTTGACTTGTTTTTTTCCCCCTTCCAGAATATCTGTTAGGATATTCTAGTTTACATTATATAGTATCAAAACTTTGGAATAAGGTTTTTTCCTTTTGCACAAGGAAGCTTTCTTTGAAATCTCACTCCTTGAGAAAGGGGAAAACTGTTACCTGGTACTAGTGTTTTCTGTACAGGAATGAAAATGCATTCATGCTCAGTGCAGTATGATTATTCGAGATAAAAGCTGTGATTTTAATGCAGATGCCAGGACACAGTAGCCCCTGCCACTTATGCACTGTGTAAATTTTTAAAAAGAGATAAATTTCTTTATTTATATGAAATAAAAAAAATAAATTATGTTTTGGAAGGAAAAAATGGGATAATTCAGTTTTAAAAAGCCAGTAATAATTTCCTCCCCTTAATGAATCAGAATTTTGATGACAATGCAGTTAAAACAGGATCACAGATACATGGGTGTTCTCTTGTTATGATTCTGCAATATCTGTATTTAAACTTATAAGCAAGTAATGCAACGTGTGTTTCTAAAAAGTATTTCTGCAGCATCAGGCAAAAAAAGGAAGCTTTCCCAGTTACTGAGTGATGTCACTTATTCTCCAGTGCAGTCTCAGGACTCCAGACAAGGTAAGAAACTCTGTGAAGATGAAATTTAACGTTCTATGCCGTAGACAATTGAATACTTAAAGAGAACAGCTCCTGCTGGCTCTGAAAAGGTAGTGGTATTAATGATCTGTACTCCACTACCAGGTTTGGAGGAATTTACCTTTTCAGTGATTTGGAAAACCAAGACCTATTTATTTTTGGTGGAGAAGCATTAGAGGTTCATGTTCCCTGAGGATTCTCTGGACAGAATATTCTGCCCTTTTCTATGCGTGAGTGAGCCTCCAGGACACAGATGATACCATACTCTGCTGACTTTGCTTGGCGCTAAATTGGCTTGGCGCTAAGTTGACTGGGCAAAGAAACCATGTCGGGTCAGCTTAACAAGGAATTAATGTGGTAGATGAGTAAAGAGATTTCAGTTTCCCTTTATCACCTCCGCTGCATATTTTTTTCCACAGTGTATCCATGTGCAAACTTGGTGAAAGATGTTCCTTCCCACCTCTTCCCCAAATTAATTTGGTTCATTGTTTTATCAAGATAAGAATGCTAAGCTTATAGAATTGATGCACAAAGTCTTATCAGGCACATACAGAAATGAATCAGCTTCTGTGAAGTGTGAAGCTCTCTACAAATGATCAATTTGTAATGAACAGTTTATCTGAGGAATTTTCACCCGTGTCTGTTAGTGAAAAATCTGAGAGTTGCTTGTTATTTCTTCAGAGTATTTTATTTTTCAGTCTTAAATCGATCTTTTAGAATACTTTTAATGAGTAGCAACTTTTCCTTTGGTATCTATTATTTGATCAGTGTTTTTTGATTGTGACTAGTCCTCTAAGTCAACCACTGCTGGAAAGAGAAGACCAGCAGACACTTCTGTATCTAAAATTGCTATTGCTGTTTTTAATGCTTAAAGACATAGCTTTGCAACAGACTTTCTTTGGATGTCACTGTTAATAAAACCTCACATGTGCATTAGAAAAAGAACACGGACATTGGTAAAAATGGCGTGGGGATCATGTAGAAATAAGGTGTAAATTTCTTTACTGTGGCATTTTATGTATATCTCTATCTGTATATCTATCTATATCTTTACTTGGCTGTATGCCAGAAACAGGGACTTGCAAAAGAAGCTTGGGCCTGAAATGATTCTGTAGGCTCTGTCTTACTATGCTGTCACTGGCTGTGGGGGAATCTTAGTTTGTATGTTCAATGACATATTTTCTCCAGTCCTTACTGCACTCTATTTATCTGTCTCTCTTATCGCATTCTCCTCTCTCTTCATAAAATGTAAATATCAGAGAATGGTGGTTAACCCTGTCTATCTCAGAAATTTGTAATTTATAATATGAAAGCAGTAGCCAGATCAACCAGATGTAGTGGTGAATGTGCTTGCTGTTGGAAAACTATGCCTCCTGCTATTTGTTCTTCAGTTTAAATCTGTAGTAGAGAGAATGAGAAACAAATGTAATTATTTTGCTTAATTGCTTCTTGCAGTGTTGCAGATGTACATTAAAATGCTTAGCTTTCCTTTTCCCCCTTCCTCAAAGGAAACTATCCATCCTTTTGGGGAGAATAAAAAATAGGAAGTGCTACTTGTGTAATATTTTGCAAATCAGGAAAGCTGAAAATTTTATTTTCTAGAGCAAGGGAATATAACACAATCTTTTGGAATGACTGCAAAGGACAATCAGATTTAAATATATATGCAATGCATTTATGAGTTATATGTATATGTATATATGTAAATATATTTATAAAAATTTTTATGTAGGACTTCTGGCTAGTTCCAAAAGTAATAACTGAATTGTCACAATCTCTCTACAGCAACTGTTAAGGACTGTGCTGCTGAAGTGCAAGAATATGACAGTGATGGACAGAATGCAGCCTTGGAAAAATGCTGTCAAGCTCTAACGTGGCAACCATATCAAACTTCCCAGTGGAACAGTTTATTTAACTCTAATTATGAAAAACTGTAAGCACTGATGTTTGCACCTGAAAACGTGATTTCTTATGGAGTTTTTTTCCTTTTTTTTTTTTCCCTGTTATTGTAGTTTTGTAGGAATAAACAATATGTTTGGTATCCTTTGTTCTTACTGGAAATAAGATCATAGAAGGAAATATAACAGGCATGATAAACTATGAACTTGCAGATCTTTAAGTAGATATTTAAACACTGGTTGAAATTCATGGCAGGTTTTCTGAATTCCCTTCAGGGATTTAGGGACTAAAGAAAAGTGAGTTAAAATACCTGTTAACTTTTTGTTTATTTTGTCAAGCTCATTGGGGCAAGTAATTACTAAGCATATGGCACCTTTTCTTCTAGAGGCCTAAAACATTAAAGAAATATGGAATTAGAAGATAGCTGTATTACTTCTGAGCTCATATAACATAAGTCTTAAAAACTACAAACATCTGTGTATGGCATGCAACTGTTTTAGTTAAAGATTTAGTTTTCCTGTATAAATCAAACTGTAAATATTTTTCTTTTTTTGGCCACATGATCTGGGAAAGGTCATTCCAAGTTCACTTTACATCCCTGATTTTCTCCATTCTAATGTTTAGTGAATGAACCCCTTCAACAAATTAACCCTTTTCTACAACATCGGGTTAGTTCTTCAGGATTCATACACAAAATTTGTCACTATCTCCACAGGAATTATACAGTATAGTAAATTTTTGTGTTCCTCTAGCCTAGCCTGCTGAAAACTCCCACGGGAGCTGGGGGTGTATCAGTGTCATTGCTGGACACCGATGTTCCCTGATGTTTGCACAGCGTGTGATAGGAGCATAACACATTTTACTGTGTCCCACACAAACCCTTCTTCTAGGGTAATGACATGACGAGAGAGCAGACAGCTCAGTGTCCCCTCCTTTCTACTCCGTGGGAGCTGGATGGGCCCAGAAACCTCCAAGTGCGTATGTGATGTGAATTGTCACTCTAGGTGGAAGTGGCTTCTGACTGTTGTTACACTTTCAGTCAGTGCCACATGGCAGCTGTGGGAGATTGCTCTCCTGCTGCTACCCAATTACTTGTTGGTTCCCATACACTTAAAATTGAGGTTCCAGACTGGCGTTTCTTTGTGGCTTGGGTCAACAAAGACAATGTGATGCTGAGCTTGAAAGTACTCAAATACACACACTGTTGCCATTGCTGTGGAAGGGGATGGAGATGTTACTTGAGAGGAAGTCAGTATTAGTTTTAAGTGAGGTCAGCAGCAGTGCCGCTGTTCAAAGATGCACTGTAATTACAACACATTTCACAGATTTTTTGAGTAGTGATCCTGTATTTTGTTAGCCTCAAAAGACTCATGTGCTTATCATTGCTCAGTGTAGATGGATTGTTCCTGTGCCTTCAAACTGCTGTGCCCACTTCAGGGGCATTTCTCAGGTTAATCGTTGTTTTCCATTTTATTCATACAGTATTTTAACCTTTTGGTTATTTAATTTTCACAATAAAAATGCTGTTTGCTGAGGTGGATTCATTAGAAAAGGTTACTCTGCCATTAATTTTGCCCTGCATTTTGCCTGATGGCATTGTCTTGGCCCCTTGCCCCATACTGGTGTGACTCTGTTCCAAAGATGTTGTCTGAAGACCTAAATTCTGAATAGAAAAAGGAATTTGAAGCATATTTCCAGTAGGGATGCTTGTGTGACAGGGATATATCCCTTGCTACCTAAAAGTTTTTTACTGTGAGACTCACCATTCTTTGTGCACAAAGAACGAAATATGTGTTTGCCCTTAATTACAGTAAATTACATACTCGAAAAATTATAACATGAAATTGCTCTTGGAGAGTAATTGTGCCAAACACTTCAACTTGGAGACGTGGAAATTTGTAAATTTTGCTTCTCAAGCTGTTTGTCTGCGTGCAACCAAATACTCTGAAATTGCTTTAAGAATATGAGTTAATGAACTTGCTGCACACCTAAATCTGAAAAATGTCCTTTCCTGAAATACACACATTTCCTACATAAATAAAAAAAATTACCCATTATAGGAAGGAACTGGAGAAGTTTTTTCCTTAATAAAGATAGTTTGAGTAGATGGTAGACACTTCATTATAATTTTAAATATGAAGTAACACATGACTTAGTAGTTTTGTAATAGTTACAAAATAGTTTTCCCTTTTTTCCCTGTCCCAGATAATCAGGGATTGTTTGAAAGTGGACTTTTGTTCATAATTTATAAAAAGATAAAGTCTGTATGTTTTTTATGAAGTCTATACCTTTTGCTTTTTCCAACAAATAATATGCAAATGAAAGGAAGAGTTATGAAAATCCATCTTCACTAATTGTGTTAATGAGCAGTTCTCAGTAGCCTAAGATCATCATTATCAAACTTTCATTAGCAAGAAAAGCCATTGCCTCTGTAAAAGAACCTTGCCATGTAGTCCTGTTATTTCAGAATTATCCATCACTTAAATCAAAGGACTGGAAACATTGTGGGATAGTGAGTTCACTGTCTCTTCTGGAAAGATCTTTTGATACATTTCCTTGTTTTCTGTGAGTCATAAGGAGAGAATACTCTTGCTCTTTGGGTGACTAATTAACCCTTTTAATAAATAAAATAGGTTTGCTTGAGTAGCCAGGACAACATATAAAGGAGAGTTTTCTAGTCATCTGACCAGAGGGTCAGTAGCAATACCTTTTCCTTTAGTTTGAGGAAAGCCTTATTTGAATCCCAGCAGCTTCTGCAGAAGAGCTTGGTATGGGAATTTGTAAACAAAATGGGGAGTCTTGCTGGCTCATTAGCACACCGTTGTCTGCAGCACTAACTGCAGACTGTTGTTTATAGCAATGTTATAATGAACGATTGAATACACTAAAAGGTTTGTGATTTTAGATGCACAGATTTCATAGAATTAACTGAGTTGGAAGAGACCTCTGAGATCATCAAGTCCAACCCTTGATCCAACCCCACTGTGATTACTAGATCATGGCACTCAGTGCCACATCCAACCTCATCTTAAAAACCTCCAGGGATGGTGAATCCACCACCTCTCTGGGCAGGCCATTCCAATGCCTGATCACTCTCTCTGCAAAGAACTTCTTTCTAATACCCAACCTAAACCTCCCCTGACAGACCTTAAGCCCATGCCCTCTTGTCCTAACATCCTTTATATCAGATTTGTAAGGGACGATTCTGTAAGCCTCTCCACCTCTGGTTTCCAAACATTTCATGTGTCACATTACAATTAGAGTACACATTATATGCATTTTTTTTTTTACACCTAAGAGAAGCTATGAAGAAAACTCTGGTAGAACTGGTGACTGTAAGGATGTGTTTCAGCTCCAGTTTTACCCTTAAAAATCAGATGGATTTTCAGACCACATAAAAAACCAGAAACTCGAGATGTCACTAAAATATATCAGTACTTAAAGTTGCTATTCTTTCTTCTTTTTTTTTTGTAGACCTGCTGTAGGCTATCACATTGTCACAGATAAAGGATTTAATTTTTCAACAGCAGATGATGCCTTTGTGTGCCAGAAGAAGAATCATTTCCAAATCACAGTCCATATTAGAATCACTGGACATCCAAACTATGTCAAAACTCAGCTAGGGGGAAAACCAATAGAAAAGTTTTACTTGAAAGCTTATGGAATTAAGGTAAGTGTTTATCTTCTTTGAGATTATTACTTTTAGTTATCCATATAATGAGGTAAAAAACTATTTTCTGAGTAATTTTTGACCAAGATCTGACAAAGGAGAACTCTTTCAAGCTACTAGTGACTTCTGTGTGGAACAGAATTTCCAGTATGGGTCCAAAAACCTACATATACAGAAGTAGTAAGAAATTGTAATCTTTCCGAAAGATTTTACCAGTTTTTTTTTTTTTTTTCCACTTACTACCAACATTCAGTGATTTTAAAAAATCCATGGAGCTGTTTTACATGGCAGTTACTACCGGTTTTGCCTAATGCATTCTAATGCAGAGGAAATTAGTGAATGTTTCTGTCATTTGTTTCCATCTGAAGCAGAGTGCTGCTTGGCACCATTCCAGAAAGGTACAGAAATTGATGTTAAAATAATGTATGGAACATGGAACTACCTTATGTAGGTTTAGTTCTCATGCTGAATATCTGCATTTATGCTTTGGCATAGAACGAGCCAATAACAGTCTGGATTCAGAAAGCAATTTTTATTTTGCAAATTAATGCAGGACTTTCCCTTCTTTTTTTTTTTTTCCTTTCAAATTGCATCCACAGAAAGATTTGGACCTTCAGACTAGCTGTCAATTATCCAATCAATCCTCAGTCAGTTCCTGTATTAATTTCTATGTAGTTCCATTAGAAATGATAGAGATTTCACTGTTTCAGACAAAATTTGCCTATTAATTACTATTTCCATTTTTATGTGTTTGAAAATTTAATATTGTCATTTTTGAAATTTCTTTTTGCTTTGTAGGTGGAAGCTCCAAATCAAACAATTACTATTGAGCAGTCTCAGTCAGATCGCAGCAAAAAAACTTTCCATCCTGTTAAGTAAGAATTTTGAGAAAATTATTCCATTTTATTTCAAGTATGTTGTTGGTTTGAAAAGTGAAGTAGTTGTTTCTTGAAAACTTATAGTAGTTCTAAACCAGTTTTCTGATTTTTGTCCAAATTCAATTCTGGGTACAGAGGCAGAATTACAATAGTAACATATACCTGGTTGCCCTTCAGTAAGGAAAATTTTCAGCCGCTTTACAAATGTGCTAAGTTTGTCTATCAAAAATATTTATATTCAGCCAGCACACTCTTGCATGCTGCTTGGAGCTGTATGGCAGATGTGTTTCGAATCTTAAAAAATGTCAGTAATGTTCCTGTCCTGCATGGGCATGAGATATATTTGCGCTGCTTTTAAAGGGGAGCGCATCTGCTAGAAACACACATGCAGCATCTTCCTGGAATTCTGCCATTCTTCAGCAGCTTAACTCACTGGCAAAATCAATATTTATTCTTCTGGCATAAGTGTCTTCTGTTGGAGCTGGTGTATTCTCTATAAATAATTAAATCAGCCTTATAACACAAAGAGATAAGACAGTGTCAAGTTAGACAGGACAGTGCTGGGATAAAGGCTGTGCTATAATATTAACAAAACTCAACTTTGAAGTTGGGAGAAGAGCTTGATTTTCACTAAATTATAACTATCATGACATTTTTCTTCCTTTTGCCTACTGACAACTAGGTTCTTTGTGTATGTAAATTGTTTCATATGTGACTGTTTGGTGGACTGTAGTTTTGTCTGTGCAAACTCTTTATTTGTATTATTTATCACTTACAGGAGCAGTACCACTATGTATTTGAGACAAGGGTGACTATTTTGTACTTCCAGATACACAGATTAGGTGCAGTTGAGAAAAAGGACAAGCAGTAAAATCTATTAATTTTAATATGGAAAGTCAGGTCCAGTAATAAGCAAGCAGCCATTAACCTTGGCAAACAGTAAATAGCCATCATATGGAACACATACATTTATTGCATTCAAAACACACAGACCAAGAAACACAAAACTCTTAGTAATAAGAACAGTTAGATACTGCTGGTGCTTTGTCTTGTTTATCTCCTAGATGTAGTCACTCTTTTTAATATGTTTTTAGAAACCAAGGTTACTGCATTTTTACTGGGGTTCTTCTTTTTTCTTTCATTTGTCAGTTTTTCTTAGAACTGTTTTAGTAAGTTTGAGGAAATCTGGCTTGAGCAGATAAATCTCCAAATGCTTTCTTCTCTGATCTTGTTTCTTTTTCTGTTTTAGAGTTGATCTGCCAGGGGACCAGGTGACGAAAATAACACTGGGAAGGCTGCATTTCAGTGAAACAACAGCAAATAATATGAGAAAAAAGGGGAAACCTAATCCTGATCAGAGGTATTGCTGTAGCTAGTTGGCCTGTGTGTTGGAAGTGGAAAAGAGAAGGTCTGCTTTAGAATGACGTTGATGTTTGTGAAAAAATCTCAGTATTATCAAATTATATTTGAAATTCTGTGGTACTTGTTATCTGCTTAAAGGTCTCATTCTCTAGAGTTACAGAATTATATGAGAACTAAAAACCACCAAACCTCATTCTCATGGTTAGAGATCGTTTCAGGAAATCAAAGGCAGAAATGGCTGGCAAAGTCAGGAGGCCAAAAAATCATATAATGATCATTTTCTTCTGAGGAAAGAAAGGTTTTCCTCTTTGAATCTGCATTACTTAAATTTTTCAAAATTACTGTAACTTGGTTAATTTTTAGCGTTTGTGGTGATTGTAAGAGCATATTTCTTGAGACAGAAAAAAACCCTTTTTATTTTCTATTATAACGTGCACACTTTAAAAAACCATTCTGGCTCTTTTTTATGTATCTATAATAACAGCTGTATTTAAAACAATTTTTTTTTTTCTGTGAGAAGGCATTAATTTAATTATTGTCTTCAATAAATCAATTTCAAATTAGATACTTCATGCTGGTAGTTGGACTGTATGCTGTCTCTCAGGACCAACTTTACCTACTATGTGCAAATGTCTCTGAAAAGATAATTGTGAGGGTAGGTATAAATTTATATTGCTTTCATGTAAAAGTATTTAATGTTTTGGTATTCACAGGAGATTATGAGGGGGGATGATTATTGGGTATAAAATTACCACTGACTCAAAAAGATCGAGGGAAAAAAATTAAAATTGTGTGTTTTATGGGTATTTTATCTTTTAATTATCAGAGTTTAAAAATGTTAAAAGTAGAGCTATAGAAGAGTTTAAAAAAAAAAGCTTATTGTGTGTTCAAATACAAAATATATTGGGTTTTCCAGATTTTTTTAAATTGAGGAGAAACAATTTCCTTCATTTGCCAGGAATTTGGTAAATGCTTTCATTGGCTAGAGGCTTCATTTTCAAAGGAGGATGAGAACGAAAAAAAATATAAGGAAAGAAGGCCAAGTAGCTTTAGGCAGATTAAAACCCATATCAGTCCCTTTCCAGTGTGTTTCCAGAGAGTCCCATCTCTTAATTTGGTGGTAGGAATATAGGTTTCAAATTAGAAACAGGTAGAATTAAGTCTCTTTTCCTCATAATTATTACTTTTCAGTCCCCTGATCCACATAAAGTTTTCATTTTAGTACTCAGCTTTAGCCTACAGTTAGACTTAGAAAAGAGAAAAAATGCAAAGCTATGGTGTAATGGGAGCAATGGAAAATTGGGGTTAGGAGAGAGAGGAAGCACAGATCCCCAAAGGGAGTGGGATTGCAAGGGAACTGCCAAGGAAAGGTGGGGGCTGCTGAAAGCTTCCAGTCCCAGCCACTTTTTCATGTGATCAATAGCTAGTGTTAACATTTGAACTGGACACGCTCTAGGAGTTTGGTTATTTCTAAGATGAATATTATGCTTAGGGCTTAGAAAGATGGGAAATGTGTAGGTGCCATGAAGTGGGCTGCAAAGTATGGAGAGGGCCTCTGGAAGACAGCATTTCAGTAAACTTTTTCTTGTGGGTCAGTTGAGAAGCTGCTTCTTTTTGCATTGCATTTTTCTAGTCCTTGGGTTACAGAGTGCAATACGTTAAGCGTTTTGTTCTAAAGTCAAGTAAGACCAAGAGCTCTAGTGCATTAAGTGGGGCTGGGAAGGGGCTCCTAAAGAAAGATGAGGGCTGTCAAAAGCTATTAGTCCTGGCATCAGTTTTTGCAGGCCATTGTTTGGGTCGTTTTTGTCAGCCCATCATCTCCCTAGGCTTATGATCATGGCCTGGTTTAGCATGTGGATTTGGAGAGAGCAAAAGGGCAAATCTCCAGCACGTGGGGTGTTGCACAGGGGTTTCCAAAGGAAGACGAGGGCTTTCAGATGGTTTCAGTCCTGGCTCCTTTTATGTCTGTGTGTCTTCTTGTACCATAAACCCTCTTCCTGCAGTTATGGTTAGGTTTTTGGAGGGCAGTAAGGCTGAGAACTCCTTTCTGGGCAGAGCCATGAAAGGACTTTGAAAGCAATGTCTGGAGCTCAACAGTTCTCTGCCCAGCTGAGAAGTTTTATCATCCTGGCCATTGCTGTGGGTTCTCTTTATTTCAGGAAACTGAAGCACTATGTTTGCATCATTCCTGCATATATAGGTCTTTTCCTCTTTTTGTCCATTAATTTCCACAATGCTACTTTCATCTGAATTTATCTTTCTGGATCTACAGTGTCACAGATATCACCTCTTTACTCATTTGGGAAAGCTCTTCCATTTTCACATTTGACTTACTCTTTTTGTCTTACAAGATATATATTTTTAAGTAAGATTTAGAAATTTACATTTTCCTATTATTTTTAATATTAGGTTCTTTTGAAATTTAAAGGAAGAGGGCTCCTTCAATGTGTGTGAGACAGTTTTTTATTAGGAATCCATGAAATGAGATTTTGCAAACATGGCCACTGTTTCAGACAAAGGAAAACGAAGGCAGAAAAGCAGAAAGATCAAGTGGCTGTGATCTAAGGTGGTGAAAATATCAACAGGAAAGCTAGAAAGAAAGAAAAGTCATTTTCCAGATGTCTAACAGGGCTTTGGTGGCAGGGTAAAGTGAGTCAGCCACTGGCTCTGCCTTAAAGTGGCAAAGCTTTACAAATGCACTGCAAAAGAAAGCAACTCATGTTCTAACCCTTTATACTCTAAAACACAACAAAGCTGTCGGCGGAGTAGTGGTTGTCAGGCATATCAGATCATGCTCTAATTGTGACAAACAGTGGTGAGTTCACAGCCCTATGCCTTGTAGATGGCAAAGCCTTGCGAAAGCCTGCCTTCTTTAAAGGCAGGCCTTCTGACTGCAAACTTTTTATCATGATCATACTTTTGTTCAGACTCAAATTTTAAGTCCTGAATTCAAAATTAAAAAAAATACCAAAACCAACCCAAAATTAATTATGGAAATCAAATGCCTTTTTTTAGTTATACACGTTCTGTTGTTTTATTGGTGTTCTTTGAAAGACCACATTTCTTTAACATTAAATTTCTAATATGAGTTAATTTAGAACATTACAGAGAATTTTATAAACCACATATATTTAATATCTGCCTTGTTTGCTCTTTTCTGATTTCCCACCTCAGCTAAATTTACTGGTAAATAAAGAATGGTTATGTGGCATAATGTCAAAGATAAAATTTGGAAAGCTTTGGATATTGATAATTTAGCTTAAGGTGATAAAGTAGAATGCAAAAAAGGCAATGGGGCCAATGCTGTGTGAGCAGAAACACTTAGAAGTGACTCCACTCTGTGTTTTAATACTGGTGTGTTAGATAAGCTCTTGAATACAATTTGAATATTAAAGATTTGGCATTTTGTTTTCCCTGAATTTCTAATGGAATAAGCAATAGTACATCCATTCTATACTATATCTTTAGACACAAATTTTTCTTCCAGGCATCTAATCCAGGGCAGTTTGAGAATGACACTGATGTGCTGTGGCAGCGAGGACACGTTCCAGAGACGATAGTCTATCATGGTCGAGTAGGAATTAACACAGATGCACCAGACGAAGCACTGGTTGTCTGCGGAAATGCAAAAGTTATGGGCAGAGTCATGCATCCATCTGACAGCCGAGCAAAACAGAATATCCGGGAGGTGAGGGCTGTGGAGGATCTAGGGCACTTATGATTGCACCACAGCACATGTGTGGATCATTGTTCTGACACGTGAAGCAGATTCTTTATCCTGGGTGTGCTGAAATGCTGGCTTAAAGAAATCAGATGTACCACGGTGCTCTGTAGAACCACTGCCTGTGGACTTGGGAAGAGGCTGTCTGTGGAAGCTGGGAGTTGTCAGACTGAAGGGTAACTGGCAGTACAAATACAAACAGCGCTTTGATAATGGGGAATGGGAAGATTGTCTATATTTTTCAATGTGAAAATCAGCCAAATGATTGTGTCAGGCTAGTTGCCATCTCAGTGATGTCCTAGATGCCATTCTTACTGTTTCAACATGTAAATCTTGGTATTTGTCCAATTAGGTCGATACAAACGAGCAGTTGAGAAGAATAAAACAAATGAGGCTGGTGGAATATGACTACAAGCCTGAATTTGCATCTGTTATGGGAATAAAAGATACCCATGAAACAGGTATTTAGTCTGCTGTGTTCCCGTTTTTCATTAACGTCCATCCATTGTGCCATAGTGCCTTTTAACACCCTGCTATTTCATCCTCATTTCTTATGATACTGCAATCGCATGCTTTGCTGTGTATCTCTTGTGGTATAAAAAATGGCGAAATCAAGTCTTTCTGGCAATTTTACAACTTCTGTTTCAACTTCTAAAAGTGGAAGGTTATTTTTTCCAGAGAAATTTGTACGATAATTTAAAGAGAATGAAGTATGTGATTACAAACAATTTTGTTCTTGTTGCAAAGAAATGAGAATTCTAAAGGTTTCTGTTTTTTTTTCCTGTGAAATGAAAAAAAAAAAAAAGTGAAATCCTGGATTTTTCTACCAGAGAGAAATTCTAGATCATCTTTTGCTCTGCCTGTAACTTTTAGGATGGTCAACAGAAAGTACATAATTATAGTCAATGGTAAGCCACTGTGCTTCCTGATGTTAGTTTTTGTTATCTTGTGAACAGGAATAATAGCCCAGGAAGTGAAGGAACTTTTACCTGAAGCTGTTAGAGAAGTTGGAGATGTTGCTTGTGATGATGGAGAAAAAATTGAAAACTTCCTCATGGTTGACAAGGTATGGTCTTGAAGAAAAAGAACCTGATTACAATACTGTATTAAGATACAATAGAAGATAAAAGGAAAAACCTAATTTGTATTCAGAAAAGTGGAGAGTGATTTCATAGCATTGGTTCAACAGGTGGGGCTCCAAAATACTCTTTTGTGCTTAGGTGTTTCAGCTAATAAAGTGTTCCAGAAGTGAGCTAAGCAATGATGGCATTCTATTTGTTATGTAAAAACTTCCTTACTCTAATCCTGGTATAACCTCTACAAACCAAATACAAATGCTAGCTCTGTGTGCAGGTTTTTTTCGCAATCTGAAATCCTTATTATAGCTTCAAAATCATATACTATGAAATGTTCATGGCCCACAAAGGAATTACCGTGCTCATAGGGTGGAAGCAATGCCTTAGTCACACAGGACTGCAGACAGTGCTTGTCCAGAACAGAGCAGCCCCTCTATTGAGTGCTGATTCACTGCAGGCCAAGGACCACTTCCCAGCTTTTCCCCACTTACAGCTGATAATGAGAAGAGGGAAGTTTTACAGGTTGGTAACTTTATCTTGTCTGGATGATATCATGAACACAATCCTGCATTCATTGTCATATTGCATTCTGTCATTATTCTCTAGAAAACACAAGTTTACACCACCAAAGTTGGAGAAAATACCTATTAAATATTTTGTATTTCACTAGTCTTCTTTTGACAGTCTACAAATAGGTTAAATTCATAGGTTAAATCTTCTAGGTTGTATTCCATATAAAAGAAGCATGAAGAAGATGCCTTGAATAAAGCTGTGGAAAGAGCACTTTTTGTTGATACTTTTGAAAAGGAAACTTTAAAAATTGCTGAATTTGGTCAGAGTTCCAGCCAATTTCTAGATGGTCAGAGAAGAACAGTGCTGTCAGATCATGACACTAACTTAATTTTGCTCTTTAGCCCTTCCTATTGCACTGTGTGACAGCTGCAGCATCATTTGAATTTTTAAGCCCCCACACAATTGCTTTGTCAGTTTTTGGGTTTTTTTCTGACAAAATTTTAGGTTGGATAATTGAGCTTTTGATTTACATCTCTTTTTTTGCTGAAATATCACACAAAATACCATCTCAAGCAGTCCCTCACAGCACTGCTGTTTGGGCCTATCATGTTGCCTTTTTCTACTGTACCTTAGGTTTCTAGATAATGCTTGCCAGAATGTCTTCTAGGGATGTGACCTAGCAAATGAAGAGAACCTACTTTCTATTTCACACCCTGCAGAGTGTTGTTCTGCTGTGCATGTGGCTCAAGCAGGAATAGGTTGTTACAGGAATGGCTTATTTGCTGCTTAGCATTTTCTTGACTACTTGCCCAGAGCTGGAATTACTTCACAGACATTTCAGGTAGATCTGTGGTTTCTCCTCTTTCTCCTAACACCTGTGGCACAGCATGTGAATGTCAATTCTGCGACCTTTAGGGTGACAGGGTCAGGAGAGATCTGTGTCTAACACTTAAAGATGTATATTGAATTCAGAGATTTGGAACATCTGTTGTCCAGGCTGATTTAAATTTCTGGAGCTCCGAACTCCAGAATAGCTGAGCACCTTGAGTAGCAAATGGACAGTGCCCCATATTTTTGCTTTCAGTTTGACAGGTGATGAGGCCTTGAACTTTATTATCTCATATTCCAGGTTTAGTTCAGGATAAGTGGGATATTGACTATTGTTGTTTCTGTCTCTTTGTCAGTCACCTGTTTGGAGCTGTTAAACTGTAAAATTTGATTGCATTGCACATTTGTAGCAGGCTCTGCTACTTTTTAGAGAAATGTCTCAACTGTGTAAAATTTGCTATTTTGAGACAATATTTTCTTCTCAGTCTCACTGTGCTCTTTGTCACCAGTGAGGCAGTAAAATTCTAATGAGTACTTTTTTCCCCAAGAAAGTATTGCTTCATTGTACACATGAGCCATTTTCTCAGCTAGTTGAGGCCACCTAGAAGTGATTCATGCATGATTTGAAGAGAATGGAAAGGGCAGCTGCTGCATATCATTGAGAGGAGGACAAGCAATCATATAAATGATTTCACAGCTCTAGGCACAAGAGATTATTTTGAAATCACTATTTAGTTAAACAGGCTGTTACTCTTCTGGCAGTAGGGAAGTTTGCAACTTACCGCTTTATAACTGGGCTCCGATTCTGCTTGTACAAAATACTGTCTGGTTTTGTGGAATGCAGTCACCTTTGAAAAAAAGGTGTGCGTGGCATCTACAACGTGAAAGGCAAAACTGCTTTTTCCTTTCTTCTGCATAACTTGACTGGACTGGAACACTTTGTAACATTAACTGCACTAATAGCTTCATCCAAGGTTTAATGGCATCAGTCTGGTTGTGTATTTGTATGAGAAAGCCATTATTTCAAATACAGCTGAGAAAGTACGCTGCTACCATGCTCTTATAGCAGATCAGTACCCATTTTTGTCTCAGAAATGGATAAAATACTTACTGCGTGGATGGTTGTACTGAAGGCTTCTCTAGCAGCAGATTGATGTCTAGAAGATAAGCAGGAGTAGAAGAACAGAAGGGTCTTCCTGGGTAAAAGATTCAGGAGTAAATGGAGGGTGTTTGAACTGTGTTTCAGAGCTAATTGTGATAACAACTTACAAGACTCTTGTAAGAGACTGGAGAGGCTGAAGGAGAGAGCAAAATATTATGCCATCACATCTTGAGCTGTTTTGTTTTTTTCCATTCTCACTGATCCCTGTGTGATTAGCATTATGCATACAACATGGATAGAAACTGGCTTATCTGATCCTACTTAAAACCTGTAGGAAGATGGTTGGATGTACATTTTACTAAGGGATTCTGAAATCTTTGTTCAGCTGCAGTACTGAAAATCAAATAGCAGATGCCTGTTGTGACAGTGTCAAAGTTTAAAATTCAATATAGTGTGAAGGTATAATATAGCTTAAATTCTTAGTCTGAAAAGCCCTTTATATTCTTCAAATTTTTCTGCAAGTTCTCATTTTCAATTTACTGCCAAATGAACATCTAGAAAAAGGGTTTTATAGTCCTATGTGCATCCCATTTACAGTGAGAACTTGTGTTTGCATTTTAAATATTCAATGTGTCCTTACATAGGTGGATTCTGTACTCATTTCTGCTTGTTATATCTGATTGATTAATATACTCTATCTACTTTGGTCATTGTTTTGTTTCTTAGGATCAGATCTTTATGGAGAATGTTGGTGCTGTAAAGCAACTTTGTAAAGTAACGAACAATCTTGAAGTCAGAATAGAAGAACTGGAACAGTGGAACAGGAAACTGGCCAGGCTGAAACGGATAAGCAGTTTAAAGTCAACAGTCAGTGAAGAGAGCAAAGTCAGGTACCTCTGATAGGTGTCACACAAATTTGTAAAGTGATCTCTGTGATAAAAATGAAAACCAATTTTGCTTGACAGTGGAGTTCATCTTATTTCCAACGTTTAAGTTCTGCAACCCCCCCCAAATTTCTCATATTTTGTTAACTCACTGACAAAATTAATATTTGAAATGGCTGTTAAATTGTAGTAATTTTTGCAGTTGTTGCAGTTGCATAAAGAAAGACTATATCCAATTACAGTTCTGGATTTGGAAATTGCTTCTAAGACAAAACTGCAGAGCTTCTGCTAGAAAGAATCTTCATTAGTGCTTCAGTGGAAATGAGCATTTCCTGTTTCTAAGCCATTTCCCCAGGTTTTCTTTGAAATCAAATGTAGCAGTTAATAGCATTCACCTGAATGAGTTAACTGGATGCCTTTGTGCTTGAAAATGAATCTGATGACACTTCTGCCTTTTCTCTTTGTAAATGTTAAAATTGCTAAAGCAAGTGACATTAGCACTCTATTGAAAATGTCTTTTTTTCATTTATTAGTTGCTGATGGATTTGAATATTAAACAGATCTTGTATCTTACAGCAGGTACAGTCAAGCTACTAGTTTTTTGCCATCAAAAAAATCAGTCCCGCTAAAATCCAGCAAGGTGAGTGAAATTAAATATACGGAATATGTTTATGAGAAAGTAAGTGTTGAAATACTGGTGAAAGCTTTCATATTTGTAAATATATTATCAATTCCTTATCCAGGATTATTTAGTGTCATGCTAGAAGCTTAAAAATTAACTGTACTGAGATAGATATTATGTGTGAGACACTTCTACTTCTTGTCTATACATAGTCTCTATGAGAGTAGGTCCATAATGGTGTGAAGGAGGAGGAGGGAAACCTACAGGACAGGAATGTTCAGCCTGTAGTTGTGCTCACATGGTGTAGTGCAGCCTTACGTAGAAATGCTCATTTTGATTTGGAATTCTGCGCAGTGATGCTGATTCTTCCTCAGCTTTTATCCTTGTGTGAGTCTTTCACTGTGGTTTGTAGTCATCAGCTCCTGTTTTGTACTGGATAATGATGTCTTTCAGGTGGTTAAGACCTGGCTAAGATGGCATTGTTATTGCTGAATTACTTCCTCCTGCTCATATCATGGTATAGAAAGCACACACCCCTTTTCACATTGATAGGCTGAGTTAGGAAATATATGTTGACCTTTTAAAAGACAATCTTCCTACTCTACCAAGTCCTGTTCTTTAAGATGAACTTATGCTCATTTGCCTACCTTGCTTTTGCCAGTGCCAAAGAGCAAGAGAAAATAACAGGTAAAATATTCTTTGTTTCATAATGACAGTCAAATGCTTCATCATCTAAGATCATCTTACTTGTTTGTAAAGTGCCTTTCTTCTGTATTTACACCAGCCCTGGTTTAACATGGTCTGAATACACACTGAAAGCTGCTGAGCTTTTAACTTTTAGCTACTGCTTACTGAGTTCTTCCTTTGATTCTGAAATTCTTCAAGAGTATGAAGAAGAATGGACAAGGAGCTGTTATTATTTTTAACTATCCTTTCTTCCTTTGTAACGTTTATGTCCCCAGACTAGCAGCAGTGCACGGTGCACTCACAGTCTAAGGCAGCCTTTCATTACTGAAGTTTTTCTCCTTAGATGAGTGCCACTGTATAAGGATGACTTGTATGGTTTCTATGAAAGAAAGAAAGGTGACTCAAAGTCAGACTAGTGTAGTATTTCCTAATCTACTAGTAGTAGCTTAGTTATGTGCCACTTAAATTAAGCAAACTTTTTTTTTTTTCTAGGCTTGTTTGTCTAAAACTGAAGAATCTTGCTCCATGAAGATTTTCCGGGTGATTATAGTAGCATTGATTGCTATTATGGCACTATGGTAACAATTACTTATCAACAAGTTGACTTATTTCTCCCTTCCCCTTTTGACTTATCAGAAAGAAGATAGCACTTCTTTTTCTTCTTTTTGTCCTTCTTGCTCAAAGAACACAATGTATTAAAATTAACAGTGAATATGCATGGTGATACTGGAGAGTTGAAATAATTTTATAAAAGTGAAATGTGCATGTGATGCACAGACAACTAATCTCTGTCCATGTCACACTGTATGGTGCACCTTGAATGTGCCTCAAAAGGGAAAGTGGACATTTGGGCAAGGTGCTGCCCAGGTATTATTCATATTATGTTACATAAGGGATGGATGTAAATCTACAGAATAATTCTCTTTCTACAGTGCTTTGACAATATGGAGCCTGTATTTACTTAGCATTCATGACAGACGTTTTGAGAAACATCCGGTTTACAGGCAAGTAGTTAAATGAGCATTAGTGAATTCTAATTAGTAGAATTAGTAATAGATTGTGGACCAATTTGTTTTGGTCCTCAACTCTGATGTCCATTTCTTAATGAATTATTTTTCTTCATTTGCAGTACCTCAAGTTCTACTTTACACTCCACCACCACTACAACAGGTACTGGGTCTCTGCTGGTCTGCATACACGTAATAGACTTTCAATTCCTGTGTTGTTATAAGATGTCAATAGACACACAGCATTTTTGATAATCTTTTTTTTTTTTTTTTTTTTTGCTTCAGCATTTCAGATGGAAAGCACAAGTTCTCCGAGCACGCAGCCCATCAGCAGGATCCCTGAAGTGAATTTCTGTGACATTTTGCCTTGTGACAAGATCTATTGTTGTCCAATTCATCAACCAAAAGTCAAATCTCTAAGTTATGAAAAAAGCAATGCAAAGGAGAAACGTAAGTTGAAAAATTAATTTTTATTATTTACAATTTGAGTAGAGACTGTATGGAGAGTGTGCGGGAAGGGGCAAGAATCTTTAAAGATAGTTAGCTTCCTACAAAAGAGGCTAGTCCAGAGGATTTAAAAAATCCTGTTATAACTAATCATCACTGCAGTCAATAGGTTTTTGAAAAGTCTGGCCTGGTTACCTTTAAGAATTTGGGGTCCTAAAATCTTTTGTCAGGTGTCGCTGTTCTTCCTAGCCATTTGTGGTAAATGATTTCATGTGAGCTGGAAAGTCACTAATCCCTTTAATTAACCTTTGGCTACAGTTGGACAGGAGTAGATTGGGGGTAGTAGAGAGTGAATTAACAGATGTTAAAAAAAAATACTTAATCGTGTCACAGTGTGATGATATCTTTCCTATGGGCAGAGACACAATTTCAACTACCTGAAAACATAAAACTTACAATTAAAAATCTGATTGTCCATGCAGGGTTTTTGAGTAGCATTATTTGAAGGCAGAGCTCTGTAAAATAAAATACATTTACTGGACTGAATTCTCTTTCAGCTACTGTCTGCCAGATGTTGTATGTGTAATGTGTGAGAAGGTGTCGTTATAATACTTTTATAATACTTAAAAGAAAGGGTTAATGCATAAAGGTATGTGTAAGTTGTTGGAATCTGAATTCCTCTTTGCCAGTCCTTAACATTGTCAATATCTGGAAGCATGTGTTAATATTACCAGACCAGCATTTATACTTTTCCTTTCGTGGCCTTGGGAACAATTCTTGCACCACAGTTGACAAACTGAGGTGATTTTGGGGCAGAGCTGGCATTACTAATTGATGTGACACTCTTAGTAGGAGCTGTTTCAATGGGACTCACCCACTGGCCATGCTTTATACTGCAGACAAGCTGCATGTAAGTGGTCCTTGTGATTCTTGTGATTAGTGCTGCAGTAAGCCTGTTGCAGATACAGCTCAGTACACTGCTTTCAGAAGGTCATACCTGAGTGATTTGTATTGCTCTGAAGCCTGAAAGAGTGTTGATTAATCAAAAAGACATTAATCTCATTTATAAATGAGGGAATTGTAGATGGATGAAAATGAAATATGAAAACCTCCTGTCCCCAGCTGATTGCTTTTGGTATTAGGTGGAAAAAGAAGATAAGAATAAACACAAAGCATTACCTTCTCAAGGTCTTATGCTCCAAATAGCATTAAGTGTGGTTCCAAGAGCGAAAAATCAGCACAGTACACAAGCTACTGAAAAGATTTCGGTTCTGCACAAGTTTAATGAAGCTGAATGTATCCCCAGATGGAAGGTAACAATGTCAATATGAAGTCCAAACAGAAGGAAAACCAACAAGCTGTTTAGTGTAGCTGCAGCCAAGATAAATGAAAAGGAAAATGTTTTCAGCACAAAAAGCCAGGAGTTAAATACGGGGAATAAGCAAGATAAACACTGGATATTTTAGAAGCATCTGACTTGCCTGATTTGTGGAAAGGTAGAACTATTTGAAATTACAGTTGAATTAAATACTAATTTAGGAGTTCATATTTAACAGACCTTTTTCTATTCCACAATGCGATACCTGAATTCTGTGGTTGCAGACTACTACTGAGTGCATCCATTGTAGCTCCTAATCCCTTGCATCTCAGATTTCTTGAGGAGAAGGCTGTTTAGGAAAGTTCAAGTAGAAACAAAAGCATTCATAAGCAAGACAAAATTTATTAAACAAAAAATCAGCATATCTTTACATAGTCTAGCTTAATGTGGCCTTTTTCCCCTACACTTTATTTGTTTTAACTGGTTTCTCTGAAAAATTTAGGCTTTCAAACTCCCATTGATTTCAGTGGAACTAAGGAGTGTGAACACCCTGGAGCATCTGGGCCTTTTCTGCCCTCTGCTTCTATGCCATTAGTAGTCATTGCTCTCCCCTTAAAGTTAAGTGTCACCAAAAAACCAGGGGCTGTCCTTACCTTCTCTTACAGTGTTGTTTCTCCCCAGTGTCTTTCCCATCACAATTAAAGGTTGGTGAGGGCTCCTCTAGGGTTTGGTCAACCTCATACATTTGCATTCATTGCCTTCAGATGGTAGTTAACAGATTCATAGTAAAGAATATTATAATTCACCTGAATTAAAAGCAGGAAGTGTTTGAGGGGAAAGAAAAATGGATACCACGTTTATCAGATGAGTTTATCCTAAATTTATCTGAAGATAAGTACATTCTTGGATGCTTTTACTTTTATATCTGTTATTGAATTGAATTTTTACATCCCACATGGGTCTTTGAGAAAGCCCTCAGAGTTACTTTATGTGAAAGAGTGGAAGTTTACCACAATTTATTGGAGGCTGCTGTGGTGCCTTTTGGTGGTTTTTGGTGTTCTTAGTTGGCACCTTACCCTCCAGATTTAGATTGCTTCAGCTTAAAGGACAATGAAATGGTAATTTTTTGATGAGTAAAAACCCAAGTCAAAATAAAGTTCTATACTGGTTACTGACTCAGTTTATATAGTTGAAATCTTAGTGAAGTAAATCTGTCTTTATCCTGATTTTTGTTCAACATTCTGCTGCCCGCTTAAATGCTTCCTTCCATCATCTGCAAAAAAATGACAGTTTTAAGTGTTTAGTAATTCAGAGTATTTAATAAATATTCCCACCAACACTTGCATGGCTGAAATATTTTTATCTAGAGGGAGCAATCTTTTACCTTTACTAGGGATATAGCTTTTCCTACAGAGTAGTTCTCTGTTAATGAAAGTGCAAAATGACAGCGTTTAATGCATTGCTAGCATATCTAGACTATTAAGAGAAATCAGAAGAAAAATGGGGGAGGAATGAGAGAATGAACAGGCTTTTCCCAGATCTACCTCAAGATTGACTGTACATGTAAAAGTGGTTGTTCAGTAGCTATTTTTCCAACTGTGTGGAACAGTATAATGAAATGGGACAGCAGACAACTACTAAATGCAGCAGTAACCACCAAAACTGGCAGAACTAGTAGATCCATATGATGAGCTGGTAAATAGAAAATGGATTCAAGGAATAACTGGCACCAGTATGACAGATTTATAACAAGACACAAAACAGCTTAAAATCCCAAACATGATTTTGTATTACATCGGTTCTGGGCCCTTGGATTCCAGTTGTTAATATTTTTCCATGCTTTTGGTCAGCTATAGCATGAGAAAAGTCTGGATTTTCTTATTTCCCAGTACTGAAATGGAAACCAAATCTGGCATGAATAAGAAAACAGTAAGGCCAATCCAGCTATCTTGTTTCGGTCTCAGTAATAATGCATTTTGATCCTTCCTTCTGTAAAATAAACTTTTATATAATGAAACAGTCATTTCTGTTCTAAACAGCCATTGTGCAATCAGAATGTTTCTTTTGGAAAACATGAGAATGGAGTATTTTGGTATTTGAGAAATGGTTTTTGACGAAACATGTTAGTTTAGGCAAGATCAACATTTCCCAGTGCCATGTTATTGGTTACATGTCTCTGAACAGATTCCTGACTGGCAGTTTGATTAAAAGCATAGGAATAGCATTAAAGCATTTCCATGGGCTTGAAGGGCATTTTGCTTTCCCCAGGTTGTACTTTGTGATGATTATTCAAAAGACCTTTAAAGCTCACTTTTGTAGAGAAGTTTTGAGAAAATTAATAGAATAACAATTAAAAAAAAAATCATCAGCTTATATTACCCGGACTAGTTTAATGTTTGAAGTTACAGAGATGACATCAATGAATGTGGTGATTGTGTTGTCAGAGCTGTTTATCAGTTTATTTAATTTGTTTAGGCGTGTTCTCTCTGAAGTACTGGGTCAGTTCTCAGTCTCTTAACATCTCTTTCAAAAACCTTAGTTGTTCTACCAATTGTTTTACCAGTTCATGTTTGCATGCCAGATGCCTGTTATTACTAATGCAATTTTCTTATTAATAAGAAAGATGTGGCTTTATGATCACATTTGTGCTGAAGTACCTGACTGCACGTTGACTTTCACTTTGTCTCTCTGTTATAAAAATTGGTGATGTTCTGTGTGTGTGATGAAATCTTTTCTATTAGGCTATGTTTTGGAAATGTTTTAGGTATCTTGTAGATTTCAAAAGCTCATTTCTTGTTATCTGCAAACTTGTTTTGACTGTGTATATCTTCTGAATAGGAGGGCTTGGTATTTTAAAGATTTTTCTTATGGTTATGCATGCCTTTATCCAAGAGATAATTAACAAAACATCTTCTAGTGTTGTATTCGTACTTTGCTGTTACAACTATGCAAGGCTAATTCGGGAGATGCTTGTACATACATCCTTTCACAGGAAACAAAAATGACATACTACCTAAAAGAGATCCAGTCAAAAAACCCAGCAGAAGACCTGATCTTGGAAATGACTGTAAGTCCTATATTTAAAGTAAATACGGTAAAAATGTATACTTGTATAACTTTCAAGAACTACTTTTAGGCCTGAAATTCTGCTTCTGGAATTTAGAGGAGCTTTATTTATAACTGATCATTATAGAGAATTAGCACTTGGGAATCTATTCCCTGTGAGCCACAGGAAACCTGTGATTCACTGTAATTTTCAGTTTATTCTTACATTTTCATTTGGTTTTTATAGACATTGAGACTAACCTCTCTAGGGGGTAGGCTTGGCTTCAGACACAATAAAATGACAAGTGAAATTTCTTTGACAGGGGCTAAAAAGTTACAAATTACAACTGTGCTAACCCTTTAACAGCAAAATGCTTAAGGATATGAGTGTGATATTTGTGTGCATGAAATGCATGACACAGTGTAAAGGAAGTGTTTGGGGTTTGGATCATCTCACCTAAGGGATTAAAGTGTCAGCTGCTGAAAGGGCCTGCCTCTGCCTTAGGATCCTGACACTCCCTTCCTCAGAGGAGATGAAGTTCCTAGACACAAGACTTTTGGCTTCATTTCAGGCTCCTCTTTTAGTGACTCTGCACTGCTGTCAGTGCCAGTCTGGGCTGAAAATATTGATTCTTTTATGTAAAAATGAGTATCTGCTAATTACATATGTTATAACAGCGTGCTCTGGCATTCGTTCAGTATGATGAGGGCTATGCCTTATGTCTTTTCTATTTGTGTGGATCCTCTATTTTAAGGATTGGGATTTTTAATAAATATTTGATTAAAGATTAGGGAATATTTGGATAAGAAAACATCTATACTCTAGCATGCACTTAAAGCAGGTTGCTACCCAGGGCCACGTGAGGAATAGAACACAAGTTCTGCTTGTTGCCTGGGTGTGTCCCAGTGGGATGATCTGGGAAAAATAATTCCCCTTCTGATTTTTTTTTTACATGGGTACACACCTCAGAAAAAGTCCTCCGAGGCATCACTATAATACATGTTGTAATGGGATGGTGTGTCATAGGGGAACATTATTCTGTGCTAGTTCTTTGAGATGAACGTGTTCAATTTCCCTTTGTCACTTAAGCTTATGTGTGGATATTTGCATGCTGGAAGTTCGGTATATAATACCACACAAATGTTTTATAATCAGAGAATAGGCCAGCCTATAATCATCAAGTTTGTCTGCAAAGTAGGGAATGATGGCTGTAGAACAGAGGGCAGAAACACAAAAGCAGTGTGTAATGTGAAAAGCAGGCTTGGCCCTGCCAAACCTGGTCCTTGTGTTTTCTGCACCACATTGCAAGACTTGGTGAAGGGTCTGGAGAGGAAGACTTACAAGGAGCAGCCGAGGTCACTTTGTTTGTTCAGCCTAGAGAAGAGGATCCTGAGGGGAGACCTCCTAGTGGTCTACAGCTTCCTCATGCCAGGAAGTGAAGGGGCAGGCACTGATCTCTTTGCTCTGGTGACCAGAATAGAACTTATGGGAATAGCATGAAGCTGTGTCAGGAGAGGTTTAGGCTGGATACTAGGAAAAGGTTCTTCACCCAGAGGGTGCCACCAGGGCACTGGAACAGGCTCCCCAGAGAAGTGGTCATGACACCAAGGCTGACAGAGTTCAAGAAGACTTTGGACAGCACTCACAGACAACACATGGTGCCCTGTGCAGGGCTTAGAGTTGGACTCTGTGATTCTTGTGGGTCCATTCCTGCTCAGGATTTTCTATAATTCTGTGATTTAAAATACCAGCAGCTTGATGCTATAGGCAACAGTTGGAGTGCAGCAATCTGCTGATAACTCCCACACTCCCTCCACACCTGGGCCTTCCCCAAACCGTTGGCATGTTAGCCTAGTTCCACTCAAAGGGATAAAACCTGTTCAGCCCCTTCTGTTTAAGGGCCCTCTGAAGTTCAGACTGAAATGGGCTGGTTGAGGAATCTGAGATGCTGCATGTTTAACTATGGACCTTCACCGATGGGATGCCATAGATGTATTCAGAAGAAATAAGCCCTTCAGGATGCAGCTCAGTGCAGCGATTCCTAGGCCAGGTGTGAAAGCAGAAGCTGTGCTCCTGTGTTAGCAAGAACATTGATTCTTGCTGCCTAACCCTCTGCAGGGCTAATCTACCTTGGCGAAAAACAGTGTCATTGTGGCTATACTCTGCACCTATATGTAGAATATTACAAAACTCTTGCAAAAACAAAAGTTCTTGCAAGTTCAAGGCAATATTTTGTGAAGCAATTATAATATTCATTAAAGTTGGGTAATCTTCTTGCACATAGGAGTAGAAACAAGTTTTTTTGCCTTCCATATTATTTCTCTCAACAAAGATAATGTTTTTCAAAGTAATGATTACTTTCACGAGCATAGGTTCTAGTACATTAAAATGAATATTGACACATTTGTGTTCTACTTGGGCTGCCATCAAAATTGCCTTCAATATCTGCCCAAAAGAAAATGGTACAATCTTAGGTTCCCAGGATATTTGTCCTTGCAAACTGAAGAAGGATCTTATCTCCCCTATAATGACAGAATGAAGGTAATCAATCGGAGGCTTTTAAGTGAGCTCTAATTTAGACCTTCAGCAAGTCCTGTAGTGGCAATCAAGAGGGTGGATGCTACTGTGTTAACTGCAGTTTTATTATGCTCCTATCTAAGATTTCTTGAAACTGCTTATTGAAATAATCAAGAATAAACCATTATTGTTAATAATTTTTAGGGATTGATACAACAATCAGTTCCATACAGATTTTGGAAACTCAGCAAAGCATTGACAATCGCTATTGCAGTAAAAATCTCCAGTGCAGGTAGGTAAATTGTTTTATTACGCTATGGTGGAATAAAATACCATTAATGTGGCATGGTTACTTTGCTGGCTCCTGCTCACAGTTGCTTAGTCTAGCATGCAAGAATCTTTGCTACCTTTTTGTACTGTTTTCTGTTTAAATGCAAATCCTAAGTGTATTAATGCAACTTTTTTTAGCTCCGGAAATTACAGCTTTGTTATTCCTGTTAACAAATACACACCCATGGATGTAGAAATCTCACTGGAAATAAAGTAAGTACAATTAAAGAGAACACACACAAAAAGCAACATTCGTTCCTTATTTGATAGAAATTCTTACCTGATGTCTGTTGTGACACAAATTTGTCTTTTCAGAGGAGTGGGATAAATCTATGCACAACTGAGTTCGTAATGTAGATGTTTGAGTAGATCCCTTGCTGTAGCATAGGCCCAATACCATTCTCAGCCCAATGACAATTTCACCCATTGTTACAGATATTAAAATCCAGAAGTCTTTCCTAAGTTTTTTCCTAATAATCATTTGAGCAGACACGTATGCATATATTGTGGCCTTTGGCCTAGGGATTTGATTTTTTTAGTGTAGAGAAATATTATTAGGCACATACATAAACACCTCCAGAGTGCCAAGCCCTGTAAATGGGGATTCTTGTGTAGGAACTTGTGGTAACATATAAAATTGTGACTTACAGCAGAAATAAGTAGCAGACTTAATCATCTCAGCAGGTATTTTCTCCTCAAAAGCCTACTTCCACTGGATTCTCCCAGAAGTAACAAGTCCTTTCTTTCGGAGTTCTCTGAGAAAAGCCAGTGGTAGCCAGAACAGCCGCCAAGCAGTCTCCTTGATGACGCTTCCTTCATGACTTCTGTCTCTCTAAGAAATGGCTTGTCCAGTCTTTTGATCTTGAATGTTATCCTTGCAAACATCTGCCTTTTTCAGATAAGAGGAAATATAACAGTACTCCTAAGTGTCTGCTTTTTTTCTACAGCTGGTGAAGATTTGTCTTTTAAATTTATGCCATTATAAACTGATAGTACAGCTCTCCCATATAGGGATTAATACATCATACTCAAAGTTTCACTGAGTATAAATATATTTTGAATATTGGTTTGTGGTTTGGGGGAAACTGATTTTATTTTTAATAAAATAATTTTTATCCTTATTTTTCTCTGTTTCTTGAAGCACCACAGAGCCATTAATTATATTTCTCTGCAAAGTCACATTTGGAAATTATTGCTCCCATTATTCTTCAAGCCAAAACACTAGGAAGGATTTCCTAGAAACCACACAGGTATGATTTCTGCAGCAATACTCTGGCTGGTGGGGATCATTGCTATAAAATTAATGGCTGCAAAATTCTGGTCTTGGCTAAGGTAGTAGCTATCTAGTGGAACTTAGAGTCTGCCAGTCATAGCTGGCTCTGGCATGGCCATAATGACATGAAATCTTTTTGTCAGAGTAATTTTTCTGCTGACTTTTATAAAAATCTATCCAGCATTTTTCTGGAAGGACAGTTTTGAGTCTCCTTCAGCCTAAGTGACCACCATAACTTGTTATAACTCCGGAGATATTAAAAAAATGGGAATAGCATCACTCAGGACTTTGAGAGACAGAGTCCTCCAAACTCTCATCTGATTTAGGTTTCTGTTATTATCTTATGGGTAATGAAAATCCCACTTTTAAAGTCTTCAATTTACTGGAAACAATGGTAGTATTCCCCTCTATTTCTGTGTGAACAGGAGTTTACCAATAAATCCCTCTAGGGAAAACTCTTCATTTTAAAAGCAAGAGTTGTTTACGTGTTATTCTCTGGATTGTTTCAATGGGAATAAGGGCTGTTAAAACGTGTTAGCTTTTACCAGTAAAAAAAAAAAAAAAAAATGTAGTGACCAGCTCTTGCAAACTTTTGAGCATCTCCAGTAAATTGATGAAGGCTTTAAACTCTCTTCAAATTCCCTGGAAATATAAGACTCTTTCAAGGTCCCCGTTTGTCAGTGTTTGCTTGGAAATGTTTATTCTGGCTAAAACAGTAGGAAAGGCATAAGCAAGGATAATTTAAGTTCTGAACACATTGTAAGAGAAACATCCCTGAATTTGGAAGTAATTTCTGAATCTTTGTTAGATTTCTGCTCTGTTGCCATACATAATATATTCTTATTTGGTTTTAAATGTTTTTTTGGTGCTTTGTCAAATTACAGCAGTTGAGATACCTCCAATCTTAAGCTGGCTTTCTGATCAGCTTTGCAAATACCCTTGCAAAAAGTTACAGGCTTCTCTGAAACTGCAGCAAAGCCATCAGAAAACCAAAATTTTCCAAGTTTTGACCAAGTTTGCTGTAATTCCAACTGCAATTAAGTCAGACATAGAGGGTTTTGCCATGCATTAATGTCCTTGAAGCTTAGTGACAAAACTGGTCAAAGAGATTTCTTGTGTCAACCTGAAAGCCACTTCAAAAGACTAAAGCTAACCAACCTCCAGCAGTTGGTGCATTCAGATTTGGTGTGACTCAGACTAAAAATGCTGCCTAGTTGAAGAGCTTTCTTTCAAGAGGGTTTTTGTAGGGATTGGAAGGCTTATTCCCTACCAAAAGGCAGGACAACAATAATTTGGACTCAGCAGTCTTATGTAAGTTTTATCATGTGAACATATCTTCAGCAGAGAGGATGTGTCAGAAAGTGAAGGGAGGAGAGAAAGATGAAGCAGTTGAGACACTAGAAACTGATGAAATAGAAGTTACCATGGATCATTACATTAAGGAGAGCTGAGGATTGAATTTTGTTTTATTCGGTGTATCATAAACATTTCAGATACAAAATATATTGTTTAATTTGTACATGGCAGAACCTTGTAATGCATAATAGCATGAAACCTTGCCTGTATCTGTTTTTGAAATACTGAGTGAAGACACTACTCATATCTTTAGAATTTATAGAGGACCTTTCCTTTTCTGAAGACTACTAAAGTTTCTATTCCAATATCAGCAGAACTGCCATTTTCTGCTATTACAGCTTGAAGCTCTCAGGCCACCTGGCAAATCGGGAACAATCCCTATTTATTTTGGAATTAGCTTAGAAAACAAATGAGAGAGTTCAGTTATTTAGAGCCAGCTGAGTGTCAGTGGGAGTCAAATACCTGTCAGTTCCTGTGCAGAGCTGCTCAGAGCAAACCCACATTTGCAGGGTTTGAAGTCAGCACTTGCTCTTTAAGTAACCCGACTATAGCTACCAAGGCTTGTTAACGTAATTACTTTGCACTGCATTTGTCGATGAAATGTTTCCAGAGCCTAACCTTCTCTCTAGTTTCACAGGAAATAAGGTTATCTAATCTCTCTTATTTACCTTCTAGGGGCGTCAGCATATTTGGACTCTCCCTGTAGCTAAGTTTTATGACAGCGCGTACTATTTCCGTGTCGCTGTACCGGTAAGACTTTTCAAATGGCAACACAGCAAAAGACCAATAGCATTTGAACAGAAAGAATATCTTATACGAATCTCCTTCATTCTTCTTCTGCAGGGTTTTGCTGGCTGCTCGACAGATCCTTATTTTGCTGGAATATTTTTTACTGATTACTACTTCTACTTTTATCGGCAGTGTAACTGAAATGTTTCCAAACGTTCTGTTCTTTGGGGAGAAGATGAGGAAACTCTTGATGTGAAAAAGAGACTTGTGAATGACCCTGGATATTTTTTTAAACCTCTTGCTGAGTTGTATGGCATTTTCTTGTTTCTTTCACTTTTAAATAATAATAATAATAAAAAAAAATAGTAAAATAAAGTGTTTGGCAACAACCACAACTCTGCATTTCCAGTGTCTAAAAGGATACGAGGCAATGGAGTACATGATGTATAAATAAAATAATCCTGTTGATCACAGTGAAGTTATATGATATTGTACATGTAGCAGACATATAGCTCACAAGAACAAATGGGTAGGAGTTCTGCTCAACTGGAATACACTCCAGTTGTCACAAGATGGGAAGATGATAAAATGCTGGTTGCAGTCAGGAGACTGCTTCTGTCCTACAGGCATATGCCTTCTTTTAGTAGCTGTCCTTTTATATATATATATATAAATCTATTTCTTTTTCACTAACAAAACCAAAACCAAACAGAACTCTAAAAGAGAAACGTAACACTGTGCAAGTGCCCTCGAAATAAGTGTTGTAAGTTAGGGAACAACAGGTCAATTCACTGGTCTGTGTGTTCCTATTTCAGAAAGCAGACCCATCATTACTGTCACAGTTGTGTGATTTAACGATGCTACTGCTGTTTGAGTGAGGTATGTTTCAGCTGTTTCAGCTGCATTTTTTTCCCTCTGAAACTGCACAGCAGGAATGAACTATTTACTCTTAAATTCAGGGGTTTTTTTCCTTGTTGTTTGTGATTTGTGTTAGTGTGATCAGAGAAATTTTGAGAAGAATAATGTCTTGTCTGCAGAGTTTTCTGAGTTGCATATGGATATATGCTTGCATGGGAAAAAACTTCCTGTTTATATTTAGGAAACACATTTGTAAGGAAAAGCTATTTGAATTAAATTTCACATTGGTTGCTCAAAAGGAAATCAGATGTAATCATGGCTGGGCTTCGCGAACGAAGATTTGAGAGGGGCTCTACCCACGCTTGCTACAAGCACGCTGATGGCTAAAAAGGCCAATGCGAGATAGACAAGTCCGGTTGCAGAAGGCACAGCAGAAAGACTCTCCAGGTGATATCGACAAGACGTGATTCTTTCTGCGTTGTCTTTTCTCCTCGAGAGTGATCCTGCGTGCGTTCTCAAAAGCAGCAGCAGCGTTATAGATGGTGTGTCTCCAGGCCTCCCGATTGGAGGCCAGAGTAGACCAATGGTTGTGGTCAATATTGCCAAGGCTGAGGGACTGTTTCAGGCAGTCCTTGTATCTCCTCTTCGGGCCTCCTCTCTTGCGGCAGCCAGTGGCAAGTTCCCCATAAAGCACGATCTTGGGGAGGCGATGATCCTGCATCCTGGAGACGTGCCCTGCCCAGCGCAGCTGAGTTCTCAGCAGCATGGCCTCAATGCTTGGGACTGCTGCCTGTTCAAGGACAGACGTGTTGGTCACATATCAAGTACAGTATAAATAGTGTTGTGGGGTATGTTTAGATCAATCATTTTGTATAGATTAGAGAAAGTAAATATAATGGAGAGACTGTAGACTTTTAAAGATTTATAATGTAAAAGTTACATTTGAACAACTGTTTTTTGAATGAAATTATTTAGCAGTGAAAGGGAAACATTAGGAAGAAAAATTCATGTCTAAAAAAGTCTTTGTAAACACCAATGTGTCTTATTTGTATATTTATTGCCTGACAGTATGATGGGAGAGTTTAATTTGTTTTTGTGCCTGCCTTTGGCATTTCTTTTGTCACTATTTTGGGATTTCCTTTAAGGAAATCCTTCTCACTGATTTTTTTTTTTTTTTTTTTAGAGGTATGTGCTTCAGTAATTGCGATGTCTGGCTTTTTTTTCCTTAAATGGCTCACTAGTTTGATCTTAAACACATGAGATTTGTGTGTGTTTTTTGGTTTTACTTTTTTTTCCTTGGAGGTCTTTATGGGGTAAACCACATGTTCTGTAATATCCCAGAGACTAACTGGACTTGGAAATCTGGATCCAAAATCACCAAAAGTTTGTGCCTTTAGGTTTTTTGTGGTCCATTCTTGTCAGAAGAGTCAACTGCTCACAGGTGATAATGCGTGTGCCTTTTGAAAAAAATTGTACCTTTTTAGATCCACCTCGTTTTCATCACTGTTCTGGGTTGTAATACTCTTCCCAGTGGCACAGAGCACTGCACCAGGAGAATATAAGCTCCAAGTGCTTCCTGTCATCAACAAGCTTTCTGCAATTAGAGTTTGGAGTGAGATGCACATGGGATAGCAACTGTTTTCTTTGTTAAAAAGCTTGTGGTGATTTCTGTCCATTTTGGAGTGGAATTACAGAAGCTCCAGGAATGATTCTCTCTCCTGTATCTGCCCAGACTTCACTTTACTACTTTTGGGGAAGTGAAACTCATCTTGACAGCACTGGACTGGTGACATTCTTGGCCTTGTGCAGTCCTCCCTTGTATGACATTGAACCAGAACTACTGTACAAGAATACCATGGGGAAAACATGGTATTTTCTGTCCTGTTAATGGCCAGTCTTCGCGAACGAAGAACCGGGGAAGGTCTTTCCACCTTCCAGTCTGCGCATTGGATTTTTTTAGGTGAGACACAGTGTGCGCGGAACTGAGCCCACCCTTTAATCCTGAGGTTCATCTGCCGGGGCCAAACAAGCTTGGACGGTGGCAGCGAGGTCCTCAGGACGTAGATGGATTGCCTTATGGGCTAACGAGCTCCATCTGCCCGGGAAGGGGCCCTGACCGGGAATCGAACCTGCGTCTCTGCGGTGACAGCACCGCGTCCTTAACCACTAGACCACCAGGGGCTCCCATCTGACCTGTACAACCAAAGGAAGTATGGATTGACTTTTCCAAGTAAAAAGGTTCTGAAAAGTTCGAGCATGACAATTAGGGCTTTTTTTTTTTTTCATTTCTCTATTCTCAGTGATAAAGTTACAGCATTTTTTAATAGCGATCAGTACAGTTTGAAACAATTTTTGTGATACTGAATAATGAATTATCGATGGTTTATGTACATTCTATTTGGAACAGAAAATTCCCTTATCTGTTTTTACCACAATGTGGATGAATCATAACAGACCTTCAGACATCCATCATTGGAATATTTCTGCTTAACTTGAGAGGGAGCTGAGGCACAGCAAAATTCCAATCTGTGTGACAGACACAGCTGTAAATTGCAGGATGCAAAGGCAAGGATAGAACAGGGCAATCTGGTACCATGTGATCTGGGTCTCAAACCATGCTGCACACACCAAGAATGTGGCAATTCATATTTTTACTTGACTGTAACACAAATTATCTCACCTTACTTTCACTAAGTTTGATCTAGAGGTGGGAGCGCCATTTAAAGTAAGAGCCTGAGATCACTTCAAAGCCTAGTGCGCTAAGCAAGGAGGCTCTAAAGGCTGAAAATCTTGCATGGTCACCCCATGAAAACCAAGGACAAGGCAGAAGAGCAGAACAAGTGGTCTGAGGTGTGAATCTGCATCAGGAATTGCCAATAGCCTTCGGGCACAGCCCCAGCTGAAGCTGCAGACAGCTGTGAGCAAATAGGCATTTTGGTCTCTGACTGCAGCTCAGTTCAAATGACTCTAGTTCAGAAGAAGCCTCGTAGGAAGTGAGGAGGCTGTCTGGTGAGATGATGTGAGCCCACCTTGAGAAGTTAGCAATCCCAAAGCTGAATTTGGAGTTCTGCCCAGCACAGGTCTGAAGCAAGATCTGGAGGTGAGCTTTAGATTAAGTCCTGCTTATCTACATTTTTCTAGGATTTTAGCTTGCTTTATAGAATCAGAAAAATACTTTCGTTAAGATTTGCTATTGCTGTTCTGCTCACAGGGCAAGAAGTTGCTCAGTCAGGAGTCACTGACTTCTTAAGTTACAAACCTGTTGCATAGAACCTGAGTCAATTCAGCTGCAAAATGAAAACCTGATTTATGTCAGGTTTACTCTTTCTGATGATCTGAGTGCTGCAGTGTGTTTAAAATAAGCCAGTTCATTGTAGGTATAGAAACTAGTTTCATGATACACACAATTAATCTTAATTTATAAACTGCAGTGCTGTAAAACCTTTATATGTGTTGCTTTATATGAAGACGTGCTTTTATAGCACACTTGGAAACACTGAACACATGGAAACTCATAATAGGAATCATTTACTGATCTTACCTTCATCCTGGAATAATTCTATTAATGTCGCAGCTAAACTGTGCTACAGATGAACAACTTTCTTCAGATTTGTGTCCTTACAGTCTGCCACTGCAAAAGTCCCAGCTGCTCTGCTGGCTTTTGTGGATTGCTCATCCACAACATGTTTGCTCCCTCTCATGTTCCCTACCTGTTGGACAATGCAAAAGGCAGGACAGGCTCTAATTTGAGCTGTTCTCATACTGATGGGGAATAGCTGGCTGCTCACTCACACGGGGATTTCCTACCTGCCTTTGGAAATATTAAATTGTTCCTGTCTGTTTCTTTCTGTGGGCACTAGTTTTGGACTTTTTCACTTTTTGGCTTCAGATTTTCTTGGATCTTGTAAAAACGTAGTAAGACTGAGCCTCTATCAAAACTGATTCTAACTGGTCAACACCTTAAAAAATATTAGTAAGCAGAACAGGGATGATAATCATATCACCTTGTAAATTTTATGTTATGTTTAAACCCAGGATTTAGTTCATTCCAGACAAAAGAATCTTGATTATTGTCTCTCAGATTTCTTAGGGAAGATGGTGCTTTTTGAAACAGGATGTTTGGGAAGTTTTAATTTGTAGATCCAGAGCTTTGGATAACATCTGTGACACAAGGAGGCTGGCATGCACTCTCGCTCCTCTGTAGACCTGGGGCCACTGATGAAGCCTTCATGCCTCCCTTGCTCACTAATAAAACTTCACTAATTGTTATACTTCATGAAGGAGAAGAGGCTCTGGAAATGGGCCAGTGTTATAAGGGTAAAGGTATCAGACACAATGATATTGTGACTCAGATATTTCAGGATTATATATGTTTGGGACTAACCAAAGAGGTCCTGTTTTAGTAAAACAGTGTGCTCAGTACTTTTGAAAAATCACGATTGCAGAACTGT